CCACCCACAAAATACAAAGAGCCTAACTTCATTCCTGACATATAATGTGCTGAGCCTCTTGAATATGAAATTCTTTACATTTTTTCTGGCCATAGTCCAAACCCATATTGATTTGCACTATTCTATTCACCTGTATACCTTCTGTTTCTAGGTAATGACTGCCAGACTCCACTGCGACTCCACTCCAACTTCAGGTTAATCATAAGCACATTCAAGCTTTTCCGTAATTACAAGTTTGTTAAAACAGTAAAAGGTGAAATGAATAAAAAATACTGCCAACTAATGTATTGCTCTTTAAGTGTTCGTTATTCCATCTTCTATAAAACCCAGTCAGCTCTTATTAAAGTAAATGTACAAATATAGAATAGCATTTTCTGTCAGTATTATATGAAAGGTAGTAATGGTTGGCTTGAAGTAGAACACATGAGGTTTGAAAAATATTTTCTTTATAAAAAAAGGAACAAACAATGAAAAATAAATTAAATGTACATATAAACAAATTAAAAGGAGCTTGCTTGGAGGAGGTGCGGTGGAAGAGGAAAGGGACACATGTCTGTTTCCTCCCCTGCAAAAGGTGTCACCTTAGGTCAAAAAACTGTCTGTTAGTAAGTAAGTAAGTAAGTTTTTTATTTATATACCGCCTTTTCACTGCAGATCTGAGTCTCAAAGCGGTTTACAATTGTTAATTTTGGGCATTTGTCTCTCACTCCACACAGAGATGGGAGCGGGGCCAGTACAGGAGGCACATGCCAGAACTATTGGGCATATTTTTAGTGGTAGGGGAAACCGGAGTACCCGGAGGAAACCTACGCAGACACGGGGAGAACATGCAAACTCCACTCAGAAAGGCCCTGGTCCGACCGGGATTCGAACCCAGGACCTTCTTGCTGAGAGGCGAGAGTGCTATCCACTCAGCCACCGTGCCGCCCTGTTCTGGCCAATGGTTCCAAATTAAGCAGAACGGTGCTGCTTTCATATAAAAGTTTGTACATTTTGAATTTCACAAATTCTTTTGACTCTGGTGCCACCCTTTGCAGGAGAGGAACGAGAGAGAGCAGGAACTGATGTTCTTCTGAGTTGTGGGGCGGTGCGGCTGCTTTGGTCCGTAGAGTCTCCAGCAGCTCCCGCTCCCATTCTGTTGGCGGCTCTACGGACGTGGGCCTCTTCCGAGCCCTCTTCCTTGGTGGGCCTTCAAAGAACACAGGGCAATCACAGTGTTAAAAAGTGGAACATGTATTTCAAAAAAGCAAAATGAAGAGAGCAAATAATATCTGTATTAAAGCCAGAGTGTGTAGACATAGTTAAACACATGTAAAACACTTTTAAGTTGTGTGTTTGTGTTACAATTAACTTGAACATTGCAGTTATCAATGAAATTACTCACACAAGCACAAATTTCGACAGTTACAAACTAATATCTCTGAAGTGTATTTCGCAATGAAATTTGAAATTGGCTGTAAAAAAGTAATACTCTATTGTCTGCATTAAACAGGATAGCTGCCATCTTGTGGCAACCATTGCATGTATTTGTTCAGTACTTTTATAGCATAAGGTATTTCAGTAGTATGTTTTTATCGAAGAAAGAGGGAAGATGTGAAGCTTCAGACCAAAGCTTCTTTCCACCTGTAGTGCCTTGACATCTTGTCGTTTCTCTGTAAATTTGTCGTCTACACTGATGTAACAGCCCTTGGGTAATTTTGGCATATTATGCAGTAACATTTTGTTTATATGAACAGTCCTGTAATAAGAATAAAAATAAAACAATGATTAAAAAAAGCCACACCTGTAGGTGCAGAAGCAGGGGAAGGTCCAGCCCTCACAGAAGAAGAACCGGCTGAGGAAGAAGAAGCAGCAGCAGCAGCAGGCAGCTCAGGCCAAGATGTCTCACCTTGTGTGGTGGTGGCAGTATCTGCACCAGAAGAAAACAAGAAATACAATTATTTCATATCATGTGTACATTGCGCTTATGACATTTATATGTACATAATAATGTACATTATTATGTACATTTAAATGATTTGTTCATATGAAAGGGAAAAGTGAAATTTAACACAACACATGATCAAGATCTATCCTGGTTTGAAAATAGCCAATGCCTATTTTCACCTGGCCATGATGTTAAGAAAGCATTAAAAGAAATGCATACACAGAAAGCAATATAAATGTAAAAGTCAGCAAAATGTGGGTAATAGAAAGGAAAGAAATGTATTTTTTCCAACTGTTGGAGGTCTCTGTTTGCTGCATGACACCGACCTTCAGCACCTGACAGCCCTGCTGCTGCTGCTTCCTCTGGCTCTTCTTCTGGGTGGTTGTACCCTGTGGTCTGCTCCTCCTCGGCCCTTCGCCTTGGCATGTTCCCGGAGCTGTCACGGGGAGTGATGTAGGGCTCGAGGAAGGACATGACCACAAGGTACTTCCACGTCTGGCCTTTCCCTGCTTCTGCACCACTCTTCTTCACCTTCTCCTTCTCCTTCCTGCTCTCCTTAGCATATGTGTCCCTCAGGTTCTTCCACCGCTTTTTGCAAACTTCCACTGAATAAACACATCAACTCGTAAGCGGGAAAGTAGTAGTTTTTTTCGCGGGGAAATATTTACTGTGAAAAGTTAAAATAACTTACCCGAGACACCAACCACCTCGCTAACCCTCCTCCAAGCAAGCTCCTTTTTATTTCGGTCCCGGTAGCTGTGGTCTGCAGTGTTGTATAGCTCAGAATGAGCACCGACCTGAGCAATTAATGTGTCCTCCATCATCTACTGTCATCTACTAGTGTTTTCCCGGTAGTGAAATGCGTCACTACGTCACTGTAGGAGAAAGCTCCTGATTGGTCGGCACACGCGAATTCTCCCAAAAAGTTCAACATTGTTCAACTCTAGCGGCGGCCGCGTTGGAGGCACGAATCGCGCGAAACGCGCGTCAAAACGCTTGACATCTCAAAACACGCCGCGCGAATCGCGCGAAACGCTCGAATTCGCGCCGCTCTGGCCGCGCGAATCGCGCCGCGTGATCTCTCGCCGCTCCTTGGCGCGCGTCCCCCATGTTGTGTCAATGTAGACCCGCCGCTTTGGCCGCAGAAATCGCGTTTGGTCTGAACGCACCATAAGGACTCTCTTCCCACATGCATCTCAGGCATATGCCTTTTTAATGCACAACATCTCACGCAGGTTTTTAATGCACCACACAATCACAGACAAACTATTGAGGAATGCTGTCGGAAGAGTGCCAATAATAATGCTACTGTTAAAGACGCTAGTATTACCATTGTTGCTATTGCTTTTACTTTCTTCTTTTTTGGTTGTTATTTTGTTAGTCATTGTTATTTTGCCTCTCTCATCAGGCCCCGATTAACATACTCCATACCACCAATTCCCATCAATACGCTTGGATAATTAATCAATGCACACACAAAAAAGTAAATAATAAACAACAGACACACAAGCACGGAAGCCCCCCCCCCCCCCCCCCCCCCCCCCCTTCCCCATGTATGTATGTTGGTTCATGTTGTTTTGTTGAAATAAAAAAAATAAAAAGATTCCTTTCAAAGAAGTCAACAGACTCCAACCGACAAAAAAAAACAAAAACAAAAAAACAATTGATTTTGGCAGAACTTCTAGGGCCCCGAGGTAAAAATGCCCATTCAGTAATGATTATATACTCAAAACTCCCATGGGCATCTTGACATGGGAGATTTACTACGGGCGGATTCTTCTTCTCAGCAAGAAGGTCCTGGGTTCGAATCCTGGTCGGAACAGGGTCTTTCTGAGTGGAGTTTACATGTTCTCCCCTTGCCTGCGTAGGTTTCCTCTGGGTGCTGCGGGTTTCCCTTACCACTAAAAACATGTACAATAGGTATGAATGTAATTGGTGGTTGAATGGAGGGTGTTGGTCAGAGGCTTTGATGCACCAGTGTGTTTGGCGTCTCGCTTCCGTCATCACCGAGTGTGAATGTAAATATATCTGATTTCTGAACATTGTGAAGCTCTTTGGGTGAGCTTGGTCAGTGCAATATAAATAAATATTACCTACTTACATTACTTACTTACCTTACTTAACCTCAGCAGCCTGCCACTCTCCTCCTGATGAAATCTTAAAAGTGAGCCTCATAAACATACACTTTAAATATAGCAGTGGCGTCACCCGTGAGTTTGGCTCCTCAAAAGTGAAGAGTGATCCATGACCAGACAGACACAATGCCTAGCAGCGAGACACTGGCGTTGTCAATCAAAGCTGTGGTCAATAGGGGCTGTGGTCCTTTGTGACCGCTTTACAAGGACTTCATCGCAGAGTGTATAGTTGAAATGTGTCAGCAGCAGCTTCTCGATGGCTGCTGCGTCTCAGGCTGGAGGCTCCATCTCTGGTTAAGCAGCTGATTTGGGTTCCTAGGTTGAATTCCCATTTGGCACAGGGCCTTTTGGTGTGGAGTTTGCACGTTCTCTCTGGGCATGTGTAGTGTGGGTTTCCTCTGGGTGCTTTGGTTGTACCTTAAACAAACTGGTTCTGATATTCTTTTGAGCTGTTTTTGGATTGGTTCTGATCTGCCTCTGATCTTGTCCTGGACTGGTTCTGGGCTGGTTCTGGGCTGGTTCTGGACTGGTTCTGAGCTGGTTCTGGACTGGTTCTGAGCTGGTTCCAATCTGCTTCTGCGCTGGTTTTGGACTGGTTCTGTTCCTGAGAGGATAGCATTTGGTCTGTAGCATTAGCCTGTTTTTGTTATTCTACCAGTTTTAGCTAAACAAAAAAAGGAAAATACATAGACATAATGAACTTTATAACAATCTGGTGGAAAACTTAACATTCTGGGGGGGTGGGAATTTCTCCAGATTACATTGCTTTGAACGGGAGCAGTCAAAACGACGGCTCTGGGAGTTCTAGTAGCTTCATAATGCTGTCCGTCTATAGCTGAAAGCAGGCTACACATGGATAGAAATTACTGTTTAATTGTTGGATCATTGTTGGATTCTCACGCGCTCATTCGTCCTTGTGCCTCAAACAAAACAAACAGGTGGCTTTTTCTTTGCGAGGCCCATGAGAGAGAACAAGTACGTGACGATGATGGACCCCTTCCAGCAGAAGTATGGGAACTTCCTGAGCAGCGCCCTGATCCTGCCCGCGCTGGTGGCCGACGTCCTGTGGGTGGCACGCACTCTGGTCAGCCTGGGTGAGTGGCACCGACACCAGGGAACAGGCTGTGTAAAAGCAGGACCAAGCACTGCGGCTATTTACGTCATGAATTATGCAACAATATGCACACACACACACACACATACACACAAAACAAGCAGACGGGGGACTATGTGGAAGGGTGTTATTGAAACACCTTGTTCAATTTATTTTTGTGTAGCTCTTGATCACAACAGCAGTCGTCTCGAAGGACTTCACAAGGTTGTCGATTCATAAACAACAGATTAGACAGTTAGAACACAGGATATGCAATAATGACAAACACATCGAAGTCATAGGTCCATAGGGAGCGGGATGACCACACTGCAAAAAATTGTGAAATATTAGGTAATAATTGAGGTTATTTTGATTTTGATACATAATGACTTGCTTATGGGACAAGCGTTTTAGTCTTACTTCAAGAACTATTGAATTTCTCATTTCAAGGGAGACATTTCTTGTATCGTTTTAAAACCTTTTGCTTGTCCCATTGATAAATATTGTTTTAAGGCAGTCAGAATGTGCTCAAATTAAGATACATGTTGCCAATTTCAAGCAATTTTTTACTTGTTTTTCATCACTTTTTGCAGTGCAAGGTCCATAAATTTCCTTAAATGTCCTTAGACCCTACTGCATCGGTGGTTCCTTGAGTATCTAAGTTATATCAAGAATACATTGAAGATGACATTTATATAAACAGCTTCAGATCTAGTGTTTTAAAGGTGAATGTAGCATAAGTTCTGAACCTACTGCAACTCGATAAATGGTTAATTTTGTCACATGCAGAGAAGCCTTGTCATACATCAGGCTGAAATGGAGAATTGTACAGAGCTAAATTCCATTTGATGAAAGCAAAAAAAAAAAAGGCTACATGTTTTGTTTTGGTCTGACCGCAGGGGTAATGCCTGCCTCTTTTCACGTTGACTATGAAAAATATAGGAGACATAGGTTTGGCATTAGCAGCTGGTTTCTCCACTTTGCAGTAACTCAGCTGGGTCAAGTTACTTCAGAGCAACACGTCGAGTCTCATTCAGGAGACGCTGGAGATGAGCTCTGACAGTGCTAAGCAGACTGGCCTTTCACTGAGGGTAGTTAGCAATTCCTGCTTCTAATCCTGGTTTGTCACTTTAAAAAACCTGTATAAATATATATGTATGAATAAACCTGCAATTGTTTGTAGGAACAGCGTTTTGATGCGTTGTGGTTTGATTGTGTGTGCGCGTGTGTGTGCGCGCGCGTGTGTGTTTTTTTAATGCTGCTTTATTTTCCAGTGTTTTGCCAGTTATACATCCAGCAGCCTGTTGATTGTGAATGGTAATCAGCAAATATCAATATATCACAAATTTGAGGTAACTGAAGTTTTCGAAAAAAAAAAAGGGTATCTTTTCTTGTCTTAAGCAGATCAGTATCTTAAACCTTCAATCTCTTGCGAGATTACAAAGAGACAGGGATAGCACCGTGGACTCCATACATGGACCTGTAGTGGGAATGGAATGCTTCGGGGACCTTTCAGCCTGAACCTATTAAACTAATATAGACGCATGGGGACCCCGCAGCCTGTTGTTTCAGCGCATATGTACATTACAGTCGTGCATGCGCCGCAGAAACAGGAGCAGAAACACGCAGACTATTTGACCCGCAGCGCAGTTGCTAAGACACTGTTTATGCGAGTGTATGCCGCATATAAACTCCTAAACTGTTAGTTCAATGACATAGGTTTTACAGCCAGAGAAGACTTAACATTTAAACACCACTCGATACCTCTGTCACACACACACACACAAAAAAACGTTTTGAATCAGTAACACAGCAAAGTTTCCACAAGAGCATGTTATGGATACGTACGCCTCTCTCGAAAGTCGGACAGCGGGCTAAAAGCATTTGGGGGTCCTTCGTATCGCCTTTCCCTCCATCGCTGGTGTTGCCAATTAAGCCACCGGATATTGTCACAACTTTTCTTCTGCCTAATGTTAACCCGTGGGGAATAGCACAGCACGGCATAGTCAGAAGTCAAATTCACAGCTAAATTTGGGGAAAGCAGCCACCCGGGACTGAGTATTGATGTGACAGCCATGCCTTTCCCCCAAAGGATTATGATAATTAATCCTGTGTTTACAACACCAACAAAAACTAAAAGTAAGGTCAACTTGTGAGGCTTGAATGTGTATGGGGCAAAAGGTTAGGGGGGTTAGAGTAAGGGAGTGTAGTGGCGATCGATCCATGGCGCTCTGACCCTTTTCTGTTTAAGGCTGGTTGTGGTGTGGCTGCAGCAGCGGCTGGGGCGATGCTGGCACTGAAGAAACGGTCCAGGTAGTTGACGTTTTGCTTGCCTTGTATGAGTAACAAGATGTCTTCTTTTATTATTATATTATTTACTTCTTAAAGTCACCTAATGATTTTAATTCAATAGGATCCTTACTTACCAAAGAGGTTTAATATTTCAGTGACACAATCAATAGGCTGCTTTAATTCAAGTCAGAAGTCTGTGTTTGTTTTTTCTTTTACATTTTAGGACCGTGTGTTGTCTCATCTTTTGGATGTTCTCTAACATGCATTTTAGAATGTTCAGTAATTGTGAAATGTAATAACCAAGAAAATATAATCACCTGCTTGTGAACGCTTTTTGGAAACTCTAAAAAGTGCCACTACTTCACAAGGATGCATGTCCAATGTCACCAGTGTGGAGGAGACCTTAAATGCGAGAATGACAGAGACCTCAATGAAATTCAGTAGATTCTGGGGTCAGTAAAGTGCAATAAAGGAAACACTAATTGTTTTTCACAATGGGACTGCTGTCATTGCAGGTGGCACAATGTCTGTGATTCTGGACCTGCCTTATGTCTACTCCATCATCATCTCCTCAGTGGTGGCCATCATCTACACTCTGCTGGGGGGCCTGTACTCAGTGGCCTACACAGACGTGATCCAGCTCATCCTCATCTTCGTCAGTCTGGTGCGTAGCAACTATAGACTCTTCAAACAGTGGCTCTATTGTAACAGGCCCAGGCTTCCATGGAGACATAAGCCTGGCCTTTATAGTAACTGACAACCATCATTATTCCACTGATCATATTACAGGCTGTGTATACACAGACAGTCAGGCACTAATAGATTCATGTCACATACAAACTGCAAAGCCTCCACAGAGATTGAACCACCTGAGTACCACCTGAAACGAGTCTAACAGGACTTTTCTGACTCTATAAAGGATTGATTGATTGATTGAAATTTCGATTCAGGGCAAATTGTTGGACCATATTCTTACTGTAATTGAATACGTACTGCCATTGTCAGGGAACCAAATTCACCAACGTCGACCCAAATGGTTCGACCCAAATTAATGAAAAATAGTAAACACAAAAATTTTTGGCTAATACCTAAATATAAAAGGCATTACACGTGTGAAGAGGTCAACAGTTCATAGTGCACATGGATCATAGGAGTGTATCAACAGAGTGCTGAGATTGAGGAAGCTGATCAGAGATAACTTAAATAGGCTCCAAGGGCCCTAGTCTGGAGCCAAATTTGAGGTTAGCGATGACCTAGATACCAAACAGTCAATCAGCAGTGAGATTGCTCTGTTATTCTTTTTCTCTAAGTAAATGGGAGCCATAGTGAGTTGGAGCAAAAAAAAGACTTCATAGAGCGGGCAGGTTAGGATTGACCATAAGTTACCTATAAGTTACGTAAGTTATCAAAGTGACCCCAGAGTCATTCCAGAGTCCTGGAGATGCAGGACAGAGAGGTAAAGTTGGAGCAAAGCAGTGAGGACAGTTATAAGAACAACCCTACTTTCAAAAGCACATAAACATTCCAAAGTAATAGCCATTGATGAAAGTAATGTATGCCATGTGTATGTGTATAAATGCAGTGGGTCTGCGTACCGTTCCTCATGACCAATCCTCACTCTCTGGACATCTCCCTCACGGCCTACAACACTACGTTCCAGGCTCCATGGGTCGGCCATGTGGAGCTGGACGAAGCCGGAAAGTGGTTTGACGACTTCATGCTGTTGGCGAGTAAAATCCAATCACTCTCATTAATTGCACTTAATGCCTCACATGTTCGGAGAAGTTAGACATTTTCAGATTAGTTATAACTGAAGATTGTTTCAGGCTTTGGGAGGTCTTGCGTATCAGGCCTTTTACCAGAGGATCCTCTCAGCCTCCTCCTACACCCAGGCCCAGGTGACCTGCTTTGCCTCTTCCGCCTTTTGCCTGGTGCTAGGCATCCCCTCCATTCTGGTGGGAGCAGTGGCGGCTTCTACAGGTATACTCAAAGATTTATGAGTAAGAGTAGATTATCTGTAGAATGTTTTAATACCCGTGCATATTTACAGACTGGAATTCAACTGCATATGGTTTGCCCACACCATATGAGCGAAACCAGGCTGGCTCCATTCTGCCCATTGCCCTACAATTCCTCACTCCAATGTATGTGTCCGTGATCGGGATCGGAGCTGTGGCAGCAGCGGTCATGTCATCCATGGACTCAGCGCTGCTCTCCTCAGCCTCTCTGTTCTCCTCCAACGTTTATAAAAACATAATCCGCAAGCAGGTGAGGTCGAACATGCGCTGTCACAGAAATATAAATGGTATATAAAAGTGTAATACTGATATTTCCATTTGCTTTCAGGCGTCGGATAACGAGATGCAGTGGGTTATTAGGATCTCTGTGATAGCAGTGGGCGTGGCTGGCACCGCCCTCACCTTCCTGGACAGCAGTGTCCTAGTGTTCTGGCTGGTGGGCGTTGACATGTCGTACACCATCATGTTTCCTCAGCTGGTCTGTGTCTTGTTCTTCGAAGTGTCGAATGGTTACGGGGCCACAGTGGGATACCTCATGGGCATCGTCCTCCGGATTCTGAGCGGGGAGCCCCTCATTGGTCTTCCTCCAATCATTCAGTTCCCCGGCTGCCGGCTCGACAAAGAGGGGAGGATGACACAGTTCTTTCCTTTCCGCACTACCATAATGGTCATCTCTTTGGCCTCAATTCTGCTTCTCTCTTGGATTACTTCCATTATCTTTAACAAGGGTCTTCTAGATGACAAATGGGATGTGTTCAAAACCAAGCGAATGCAGAAACCAGCGGCTCCAATCACTGACAAGACCAACTCTGAAGGAAGAGAGGGAGCAGAGGACAAGCAGCTCTTGAGCACTACCGGCTGCTAGAGAGTTGTTACCATTAAGACTTCTGTGACTGACTTTGAGGATCCACAGGTTCTCTTATCAAGCCTTCGGGGTTTCTTCCATTTGAATACACTATTTTACTTTCGATCAATAGATCTGTTTATGTTTGTAAAACATGGAAATGATACTTATTCTCATTGTAGACTTTCCCATTGGCACTTAAAATAGACTTCATTAAAAATGATTGTCCCTCAAAATATATTCAGCCAATATTCAATTCTGTATTTTGTAGAAAACTGCAAAATACTTTATAATATAATCATGCCGTGGGGTAATTGTTAAGTGGGTGACGGTTACCAGCTTCTTTTGCACTAAGTGCAACAGTGAACAAAGAGAGTGCTCGGGCTGCAGTGTTGGTGGTGGGTTTAATTATTATCTATGGATTTCAATGTGATCTGAACCTCATAGTTTACTATGCAGGAGAAATAATCCTCAGCTTTCGTGACATACCTTTAATTGCACATATGAGTATTTGTTGTGATTATATATTGATTTTTGTGTGTGCATATTATCCGTGTGATTTTCCGTGTGATTTTCATGACTTTCATTTTTTTAGTTAAAATTTAGTGCAGTGGTGATTGCTCAGCAGGTGGACAAAACAATAGTTACACTATTATTTCTTAGTAAACCTTTGCCTTACATTTTCTTTGTTCAACTTTCTTTTACCATAAGCTATACATTTTTACAATGTGATCATTTCATCCTCAAAGATGAGTGCCGTACATTTACAAATGTGGTTTGGAAGTGTGAGTGTTTTGTTGAATTTTTCAATTATTCACCTCAAACATGAATAACTTTACCTCACACAGAGGGATGTCCTATCGTCCTGATTACAAAAACTCACACAAGGCAATAATTGAATGTGTGTCTGGACACAATGAACAAAGAGTATTTCAAAATGGGGCAAGTGCAAGACAACATCTCTTTTGTAAATGTGTACGTGATTTTTACATGTATTATACTCTTGTACAGACTTATATATTTACACTTTGTATTTTTTTTTTTAAATCATAATACATACAATGTGAGAGGAAAATTGTGATTTTAGCTAATCATAACAAAATCAACTGATGTATTGCAGAACATAGCATTTAGTCTGGCCTTGGAACATTTTGGATTCATTGTGTTGTCCACTTTGTAAGGGCTGAACATTTGATTATCAACGTGTTGGAATTTGCATCAATCAAACATGTATCATATAAATCCTTCTAGTGTGATGTTCTGTCAAAATAAAAGTTGAAAGCATTTTCTTGTTTTTGAGTTTCTTCTCTTCTACACTCTTGGCAATGACCAATGTGTTTCTCATACAGTATATTGTTTTAACAATAAAAGTATCCAGGTGTAATAAGGAAAGATGAGGAGGTTAATTGTAAGATTGGTGTTAGACAAATCTATACTTTTAAATCTTCAAACGGGAATTCTATAAAATGAAGATATTTACTGTTATTGCACAATGGTGACATGTGTGTGGCAGAGCTGAACCAGTGGCTCAAGCTATGTTTTCTAACAAAAGAAATTTACAATTCAAATTTTCTATAATTCAATTTATTTTGTACTGCCCTTAACAGCAGTTGTCTCAAAGGATTTTACAAGGTCGTCAATTCACCAACAACAGTTCAGAGAACAGTTGCGGGAAATCCAGTTCTAAAATACATAGGAGCCATTGGTCCATAGTGAGTGGGAAGACCATATCCATAACTTTTAATAAACAGTAGGGAAAAAAGAGAGGGATCTGCTCCCATGGACGGGATCCGAGACTCAGGCTGGAAGTCATTTTACGTTGTACTATTAACATCTAGAATTTGTAACAGAATTATCTAGAGTTGGTTCAAGACCTACAACCAACATTTAACCATAGGCTACACATAGAATGAGTGAATAGACCGTTTCAAAGCCTGCTGCACATGCATGGGATAATGACATGTGCCCAGACACCTCCCTTCTCCATAAAGAGCATCATTTCATTGCACAACCAAAAAGGATGGCCAAAAAACATTCTGTCACCATTGAAATACACTCAAGAAATATAATGTACTAAGTTTTAAGCTTCACTTAATGTATTATCTGAAGCTGACATTAAAACGTATCAATGAGCTTGCACCACTGTGTTCATTTATACTGAGACGAAACAGAAAGAGATAGTGGTCCACCAACAGAGAATTATGGTCAGTCGGATTATTCCACCAAAAACACCAAACTGTGCAACTCACCGTCCCCTGGTCTTGAATATACAGTATATCTGAGTTTATACAGTATATCTGAGCTGCCCGTTGTTTGAGTGTGTGCTTGTCTGTGCATGTGTTGAAACATGTTAGATAATGTACTGTATGTGGGGAAAAGAAAACCAGGGACAGGAGTTTTGCATTATCTACTCTCTGCATGTTTCGCATCTTTGGCTGTTACTATTTACAAGTGCATTGTCCCTGTCAAAGAAATGAATGTAATAAAGAGGCCTTGTTACCCTGTCATAGAGAAATACTCGTACTCTTAACGTACTCATTGTAGGGAATGATGTCCTCTGTATTTGACACATCCTTCAACGGCGCAATAGGACGACCTGTTGGGATCTTATTGTGCCTGTAGTGCTTGTTTTGGGTGGTGGGGGACGCCGGAAACCCACCCAGACACAGGGAGAATAATTCAAACTTCAAACAGAAAGGTCTAGGCTGACACAGCATCAAACTGTGAAGTATGAGTGATAAGCCACCGTGCCAAATTACGTTCCAATTCTTATGACAAAAATGCAGGTATGGTGAGGGTTATAGCCTGTAGTAGACCGTTTCTTTTTCAATATCAACCAGAGTTACTGCTAACTAAAGTTTCTGGATAGTAAGCAAAAAGTAAAGCCACCCTAAGATCAGATGACAAGTTTAATCTTGTTTCATATCCATGCTACTCAATCTTCGTGATTGTGTTTGTGTTTGCGCTGATGGCGGTGACAGGGAGGCAGTGGCAGTGCACGTGCTCAGTACTTTTCCACTGACAAACGAAAGCATGTGAGAGTGTAGAAGCAGTGATGTGACTTTGACAAAAGAGACAGTAATTATGGGTTATACAACGTTGACAAATGTGTGTACAGTATGTCGGAAGAGCAGAATAGAGAGTGCTTCAGTGGGTTTTTCACTGTGTTGGGAGTAGTTACATTTGTAAATTATACTAATGTATTCCTTGTTGAAGTTACTCTGTAGAAGTCATCACAAAAGTGAAAAATGGGAATATACTAGTGAGAATCAAAGTAATGTTGCATGTTTAATTATGTAAGTGCACATTTACTTTGTTGTTTACTGAGACACTATCCGTGTGAGATAATCATAGAGTAGTGTAAATCACAATCAACATCACTAATCAATATTTGAAAACAGTAGTATTGTAAAATAAATATACTAGATGTACAGTAAATACAACACAAAATATTAGCGTAACATACCCAACACTTCTTTGTGTGTTTTGGAACTCTGCCAGGGCAAGAGCAGGCCTGAAGGGCTCAGGGATATTTTCTCATAGAACTACAGTCATATTAGGTATTAGTTACTCAGATTTCTACATAATTTATGTTCTTCCCATATACAGGGCTCCTACGTGAAGGCCGTAGGGAGAACTCCTAGCTTAAAGTGATTTTTCAGAGTTTGTCAAAAAAAGGTACTTTTTTTTTAAACTACGCAAGCTTCCTCCCCCTTCTTTTCTGATTGGTCTACGCTTATGTTTCCCTAACACATTTAAATGTTAATCAGAGAACACATTATACATATAAATTATTAATACAAATGCACGGAAGTTTTCAGAATTATTTGTTAACGTTTTAATGAAAAAAGTTATGTTTTATGTACAAAAAAACCGCAAACCCGGAACAAGCTATTATCAAGTGTTGCACATTATAGGACACATCTGCAGAGGATCTGATTATGGATATAGGTTCAGTATATACATAAGTAACTCAGCGCGGATGTTCAGAATTTTTTATTCCATTTTCATGAAGTCCCAGAGCTTCGGAGGTTCCGCAAAAACAAACAACTGAGCATGCGCGCAGCTACGAGCATCAGCGCTGATGATTGACAGCCCTTGGCATGACTCGATTGATTAACGTGGATGGCATCGTGGATTCTGGGCTATAGCTAAGAGAAGGGAAGGCGGGACTTGCCCGTAATGTTAAAATTAATTAAAATGACTTATTTTATATCAACATTCAAGGCCAGGAGGTCAATTCAACACATTTCCTAAAATTTGTAATTCATTTAGAGTTACAGTCTATCACTTTAATGTGCTCGGAGCCTGCCTGAGGCAAGGAACCATATCCAGAGTGGACCAACGTGTGGGCAGGAGGAAACAAAAGTTCAATGGGCCGCCTCTATCAAGTGCACTGAGTTACATGCTTAAAGAGCGACTAAACACTGTGCCCAGCCTTACTCCGCCCACATGAAGATTTGAAAATGTTCTCTAAAAAGGGCGTTGCCTGGAGGACCAAGGGACAAGAAGACAACTGTCTGTTTTTTTTGTGTGTGACAAGTGAGTTTTACGAAATACCCTTACTATGATGTCATGTTTAAATGTTTCATTTACTCAAAGAGAATATTACGTAGACTTTTCTTTTATTCAAATATTCTAATTAAATAGTGTGTTTAAAAAAGTTACACATATATGCTTTAAACGGGAAAAAGCAATTTCTGTGTTTTTTTGTCTTGTTTGTAAAGGCATACTGCTTGCTGATAAGGAAACCATTTTGCTATCATCTTGCATAATAATGTACAGTAACAGTCCTTAGTAAAATATGAAATTATAAAGACTCATTAGAAGTATTAATAATAGTATTAGTCTTCATGGAAATTGTATCAAATTATATATTATCATATTATATTATATTATATAGGTTCCGATTTTCTATATTTTCAAGATGCCATAATTCATCAAAGTTGAATTAAATGTGTATTATATTTGGAATAGTAAAGCAATGTAGTGGGTTTAAATAATTCACCCATGGAACCTTACCCTCGCAGAGTTCCGGGTTGGACATTTACCCGAGGGCATTCCCTGTTGTTTTGTTGAGCCTCATGCTGCTTCGTTGTATGTTTTTAGCATTGAACGGATGTGACAGCTATATGACACTCCGCTTGACTCGCTTCTTGCACACCACAGCCATCTTAATTAGCATTAAATAGACGTGTGTATCTTTATAATCCCACATTTTGTCCGCTCTGACGTGGCCGGTTAGCTCAGTTGGTTAGAGCGTGGTGCTAATAACGCCAAGGTCGCGGGTTCGATCCCCGTACGGGCCACTTAATTTTTTGTTTTCCTTGCTTGGATTTGACAACGAATTAAAGCTGTTTTGGATGAATCTTGAAATGTTGAAATGTATACATTTATAATATATGTTTCGTGCGCTGCTTATATATTTAATGTAATTGAAATCGGTACCTTCCCCGCAAGCAAGGTTCTATGGTGTAATGGTTAGCACTCTGGACTCTGAATCCAGCGATCCGAGTTCAAATCTCGGTAGAACCTAAATTTTCTGCGAGGTTGTCAATGTTGAATTTGGTATAATTAACATTTTGCAGAATACATTTTGGTAAGGGAGGCTCTATTCCAACTATGTACGTTACTTTATCTCAGTTTGTATAAAACAAAATTAAGAAAAACAATGTATGAAAAAGGTATATTCTTTGTAAAGGAAAAGAAAAACTGTATCAAAAACAGTATTTTTGGCAGGGACTTAGAAAACGATTATAGACCAGATTAAGAGATTTAAATGATCAACAATTATAATAGTTAAGAACCCATGGAGGCATAGTTGTCCTCCCTGTGTGGATGACAGATAAATATCACTTATTACATAACACTACAACAACCAACTAACATCTTTTAAAATCAAGAGACACAGACGGACTAATACAAAAGGTAACCTTTTAATTCAAAAACATGCATTTCATTTTTTTTTCTTGGATGTTGTCGCCCCCTTCTGGTGAGCGGTTGACCTGAAGAAGACGGAAAAGTGTATTAAATGTGTATGATATTATAAAATTAATAAGTATAATAAAAATACACACTTTTTGACTGGTGCTTCTGGCTGGAGGATAACAACTTCATCCTCTTCACTGTCAGAAATTTCAACAATATCTCCTGAGAAAAGACATTCAAATCTGCATTTAAGCCCATGATGATCATGAGTGTGAGTAATAATGTCATGAGTGATCAGGTGTGAAAGTGTTTACTTATGGCTGATACCAAGAAAGGATAATTTTTTTCATTAAACTAAATACAAACTTGATCAATCATGTAATGTAATGTAGTAAGTAATCCACTGTTCATTTGTTGGTCCAGAGTAGACCAAGTGTGAAGGAACCCTGACGAGCTGTGGTTTTACAGAACACAAAATGTCAAAGTAAATGTTCTAATTATGATAGGGGCCAATAATAACGCATAATACTTTTTATTTAGTAAGCTGCTCTAAGATCTGCAGACCAGGCTCTTTTAGTGGTCCCAATGACCACTGTGCAATTTGTATTCTCTTGTATGTTTCTATTATATTGTGTTTTTAGACGTGTGTTCAGCACTTTGGTCAACTGTGTTGTTTTTAAAGTGCTCTATAAATAAAGTTGAATTGAATTGAATTTGTGATACAGACCTTTGGCTATTTTCTTTTTGGGTTGTACCTCTACCACCATATCCTCTTCCTCCTCGCTGTCCTGCTCCTCCAGACCCCAGGAGTTCTGCAGCCCCTGTCCCACCTGCCCAACCCCCGGAGCAGGCACCACAGGGGACGATGGCCTGAACTATTGTTAAGATTCAAGCCAAGAAAAGCGTAAAAAGAGTAAAAAGAAAAGTAGAAAATATGGGTCACCCTACAGTAGTTTCAAATACAAATTATAAAAATGAAGCGACAAAGGAGAGCAGAGGGATTGTTTCGAGGGTCAGTATAAGTATTTGTTTTGTTTCATAAATGCATTTTGTTTGTTCCAACAGAAAGAACCTTGTTTCACTAATATTTTGTGAACAAATCAGACCACAGCAGGCCGTCTTCATCTTAACAGAAAACAGGTTATATTTTACATACTGAGAGCTGATTGAGTGAGGGCTGGTACGGTCTGACAAAAGACTGAAAATTATAACCCAAACATGTGACAGAGGCCAAGATACAATCCATGCAAAAACTAGTCCTTGAAACCCTCAGCTCAGTTCAGAAATCTAGCAGTAATAATGGTCTTGAAACACCCACATCACCTCAAGTCAGAAACATCAGCAGCTTTTTACCATCTGAAAAACATTGCCAGTATCAAAAGCACAGTGTCTAAAGCAGACTAAAAGATTCTTATCCATGCATTTGTCTCCATTAGACTACTGTAATGCCCTGCTCACTGGCTCAAAGAACTCCCGAACTCGGAGGCTCACAGGGACTGGCCTCCTGCTGGTGCCCAAAGTCAGTACTAAACATGGGGAGCCTGCAATTCAGATTTATGCAGCTAAAATCTGGAACAGTCTTCCTGAAAATGAGGGACAGGCTTCTATTCTGACATATAACTGAAGGGTTGCATCTTCACTCTGTTTGATGTAATGAGATTATTTAAGTTTATTTATTTATACATTTATCATTTACAAATACACTTGCCTTGCCTGAGCTGAGAACTAGCAACATGGATTTTATTATTGTTAATTTTGCGCGGTTTTAAAGTTAGGTAATCCAACTTTAAATGCAGGAGAAAGACAAACCAAAACACACAGGCCGTATCCTAATGCCATTTACACTCAGTCGGGGTTATCTTAGAAAAGGCTATGAATGTATACTTTATATTGAAATCTTCCAGCGCAGATTGATTTCTGTAGATTTTTATTTGTGCATGTTGTTATTCTGCTTTAACTTGTTTCACCGAGAGCCAAAGCAATTTCCTACTTTGTGACTTCCTGTTAGTCACATGGCAATATAATGATTCTGATTCTGATTATGTGTCGATGCCGTCTCATATAAGGATACGTCTCAGGAGGGGCTTTGGAGTTCTTGATGATGTCGTCTGCCTGTTCCACCACGTCTGTCATCTCCACCGGAGTCTCGTCCACTATCAAAGTCGTTATTCGCTCCTGAGACATCGACTCTGCAAACCCGCACTTCTCCCCGGCTTTCCTGAATAGATAAAGAACAGAATAAAAAAATAAGGTTATGATTCCTGGATGCGTTTTGAGGTTTTGTGAATGAGTCTAGGAGGGCGGCGGGCACCTGGCCTTTTTGTCGTTTTCCAGAGCTTTGCCGATGAGCGTCGTGATCTCCGACACTTTGACGCTGGCTATTTTACTGCATCTCAAAACCTAAAACAAAACATTCATTCATGAAGAGAAAAGAACAGAAAGAGTCACGTTTTTTGAGCCAAAATATCTTTAGTGTGTTTAAAATGCTTGTTGGTTTATAATCTGGTTTAATCCTGTTTTAGACTTGGTTTATTTGTTTGATAGTCATGTTGTTTTAGAATCAGAATCAGAATCATTTTTATTGCCACGTAAGTAACAGGAGGTCACAGACTTGGAAATTGCTTTGGCTCAGTGCAACAGTCAGAAAGAGATGATAAAAATAAGAATAAAAAACACTTCTAAAGAATACATTTAAAGTGTATTTTAAGTGTTTAAAATCATATACAGTGCCTCTCAAAAGCTTGAAATCTAGCATCTTCTGTCATATTCACAACCATAAAACAAAGATTGAATATTTTACTAATTTCTTCACACACAAGTAACAAGACAAAAGTAAAATGATCTTGTTCATATATATACATATATTATATTACTATGAATTATTATATCCTTAAAAAGTAATTAAATGTTATATTTTCATGTGTTTTAACTGTTGATTCTCTGATCTGTGTTGGTGATTTCAATGGTTTTGTTAAGTCCTCTGAGATTACTTCTGTTGTGACCTAGGGCTATACAAGTGTATTGTATTGTATTAGTATTTCCATTAATATCCAAGTCAAGTTTGTAATATTAGTATTGTGACAACACCATTTGGTGGTGGTATTTGCCTGGAAACACTTACACAGGTCTTTTGTCAGAACTAAACTTTAAACTGACACAAATAAAATATTGGGCTACAAAATTTGCGTAAATTGAAGAAATACATCTTTTATAACTACCCTATCATATAAAACAAACCATTTTATTACATTGCACTAAGTTTATAGTACAGTTGAGGGCAGTATGTATTTGAACAGATGTGAAATTAACCATAGTGTGTTGATGGAGTCTGTGTGCAGCACCTGTTCCTTGAGCAGCATGATGCCTCCGCTGGACTGAATGGAGCAGATCTCTCTGTGTTTGTTCATCGCAATCATGAGGAGTCCGTCCATCACCCGCTCCTCTCGCTCACACGGATCCACCAGCAAATACGTCCTGGCACAGAAACAAAGGGATGCACATTACAAATCATCAATATTAGCTAATGCACGATTTACATCACAATTAAATATTCATTCTAAGAGGCAGAGATGAGTTTTACCCTTGTTGAAAGAAGGAGAAGCTGACACTTATGGGCATGTGGTAGATACTGAGCGGAATGGGCTCTCTCTCTTCTGGAGTGTACTTAGAGCAAAAACAAGGACAAAAAATACAAAATAATATCAAACATAACAAATATGACACACTATACTATGAGAAAGTATAGAGAAAGCATGAGAAAACATTGTAGCACATTGAAGGTGATATCCAAGGTATAAGGTGATAGAATATATATTTTGGACCATATGCCCATATAGTATCACCTATATTACATTTTTTGAATAATAAATATATTCATGTTTGAAATAGCATCACCAGTAGGATTTTCTGGAGGAGAATAGTTTGACCATTGGTGAGGGGCCTCAGCTGTCCATCAAGGCACCTGTGGGGGTGGGTCTAACTGCCACTTCCATTAGAAAAATATCTCTCCAGCTCCACAATTTGAACAGCAATAGTAATGCACTTGTACAACATCAATAAATATCAATCAATCAATCAATCAACTTTATTTGTATGGCGCCTTTCCAACACAAGGCCACTCAAAGCGCCTCACAACCCACATAATATCACACAAATCAGAGACATCAATAAATACATTAAAAACAGAATAACATCACAAGTAATGGAAAAAAAAAAAAAAAAAAAAAAAACTTAAAATATTAAAAGCACACACGGGATTAAAACAATAAATAACCACAATGCATTAAAAAAAAAAGAGTATGTATCAATAAAATCCTTCAGCCGTATGCACAGCTAAAAAGAACAATTTTTAGCCCTGATTTGAAAAAATTGCCAGAGTAGATGCTAGCCTCACATCTTCAGGAAGATTGTTCCAGATTTTAGCTCCATAAATCTCAAACGCTGCCTCCCCATGTTTAGTTCTGACTCTTGGAACCAGTAAGAGGCTACCTCCTGTGCTCCTCAGAGTCCGGGCCGGTTCATATGGGACTAACAAGTCGCTTAAGTACCCTGGTGCGAGGCCATGGAGAGACTTGTACACAAGCAGTGCTGCTTTGAAGTCTATTCTCTGAGCCACAGGAAGCCAGTGCAGAGACCTGAGAACTGGACTAATGTGGTCATATTTCCTGGTCCTGGTCAGGACTCGAGCTGCAGCATTTTGGACATACTGCAGTTGTTTTACAGCCTGTTTGGAGAGACCTGTGAGCAGGCCATTGCAGTAGTCTAACCTACTGGAGACAAATGCATGGATGAGAATCTCCAGATCTGATTTAGACACTATGTTTCTAATTTTGGCAATGTTTTTCAGATGGTAAAATGCTGCTGATGTTACTGATTTGATATGACTGTTAAAATTTAAGTCTGAGTCCATTATAACTCCTAGGTTTCTGACCTTGCCTACAGGTTCCAGGGAGAGAGACTGGAGGTGACGAATAACGCTCTCTCTTTGTTTCTGAGGACCAAAGACAATCAATTCTGTTTTGTCTGCGTTTAGCTGAAGGAAGTTATTTTGCATCCAATCACTAATCTGTTGAGTACAGTGAAGGAGTGATTCCACTGGTCCATGTTCTCCTGTAGTAAGTGAGACATAAATTTGAGTGTCATCAGCGTAATTGTGGTAGGATACATTGTTGGAGCGTATTAACTGACCTAACGGCAGCATGTAAATATTGAACAGAAGAGGCCCCAGAATTGATCCCTGTGGCACTCCGCAGGTCAGAGCCATACGATCTGAGACACAGTTTCCTATCTGAACCAAGTATTTCCTGTCTTCTAGGTAAGACCTAAACCAACTTAGGGCAGTCCCAGTGACACCCACCCAGTGCTCTAGTCTCTGCATGAGGATCTCGTGGTCGACTGTGTCGAACGCAGCACTCAGATCCAACATTACTAAAACTGTGACTTTTCCTGTGTCGGTGTTAAGTCGGATGTCATTTGTAACCTTCACTAGTGCAGTCTCAGTGCTGTGATTGGCTCTAAAGCCGGACTGGAGCGCATCAAACGAACTATTAGTTACTAAGAATTCTGTAAGTTGTTGGTAAGCAACTTTTTCCAGAATTTTTCCCATAAACGGCAGATTTGAAATGGGGCGATAATTCTTAAGAACTGTGGCATCTAGACTCCTCTTTTTTAGGAGGGGTCTGATGACTGCCGTTTTCAGGGCCATTGGAAATGTTCCAGATGAGAAAGACATGTTCACTATTTGTGTGAGCAAAGGTAAAAGACTGCTCAAAACAGACTTAAAAAATTTAGTGGGTAGTACATCCAGGCTACATGTGGAGGAACTAAGGCTAGAGACAACATCTTGGACAGTTTCATTATCTGTTGGTGCAAAGTGCGATAGCTCAAACAGCCTCACCGGCTGTTGTAATGTTATTTCTGCCTTGGAGGTGATGGCGTTTTTGATGCTCTGAACCTTGTCATTGAAAAATTGTGCAAACTCATTACATTTAGATTCTGAAGCAAATTCGAATGGCAGCTGAACAAATAAACAATAGCATGATCATTAGTAATATATCTGTAATCATTTCAATGACTAGTCAGTAGATGTATTTTCAATCATAAAGGTGCGTTCAAAGTCACTACTCCTCATTGTTGCCAACTCACCACAGTGATCTCCTCTCCCTGGATGGACACGTCAGGTCGTCTGAAGTGGCACAAAGCTGTAATGGCGGCGACAGTGGCGGCATCCATCAGGTTTCCGTCATGGTTCAGTGTGTGCACATCCACGCGGATCTGCCACACCTAAACAAAAACTATGTTAGGGTCAGACAGAAGACAGAACACGAGAATGGGTCACTTAGTTAGTGGACAAAATGGAGAAGAGTCCAGACCAAAACATTACAAAGCTGTCTATTAAGAGCAAATGGGACCATTTAAGATTTGTTGTATTTAATATTTTTGTCATCATTGTATCACTGTTTTAAGGAATTACAGCTACTCCAAATGTGCAACTCAGCCGATGACTTACTATTCTCTACTCTTACCATTTTAAAACACACTACTACACTTTACACTCATTTATTACTCAAATTAAGATTAAGATATCCTTTATTTGTCCCACAGAGGGGAAATTTGTGTTGCAATCCAAGTTACAGAACAGTAGGAATGAGGAGCACACAACACTAGATGTTTGTACCTTTTCCCCAGACACAACACACAAAGACTCTGTGTCAATGCACTTGGAGTTCCTGAAGCATCTCTCCAGCTGCCGATTGAGCTTCACCGACAGCTCTGACTGCCTAAACAACACAGGACAAACATAATAACTGTGCTTTGTTATTGAAAAACATGCGTGGTATGAGACTGTATATGTACGTTTTATTGCTAAAGATCATTGCTAAAAAAACATGCAAAACAGATTATGATAGCATAATAAATTAGAATACGTTTGTAAACATGACATTTCCCTGCAGTTGTTCCGTTCCCACTGAGTGACACTGGCTGGTGTGACTAAACAATCCAGCAATTGTTAAGTGTTAGCATACAAAATTAAAGATTCCTCCACTTGTTTTAGCCAAATCTAGTCATGTATGAACGACCTCATAATAACAGGCATTGAGGTGAAGCCTCGCTCCTACGCCAGAGCCGTCGCAACAGGAGGAGGAGGAGAGCCGCTGAAGGATGAGGATTTGGCTTCAACTGAGCAACAAGTAATCAAATATATGAACAGTCAAGGGATAATGATACAAGAAGAGGATATTGAAGCATGCCACCCACTGCCACGAAAGAACAAACAGTTGAAACCAGCAGTAATTCTGCGCTTTGTAAATAGGAAAAAGAAACAAGCCTTACTCAAACAAGGAAAATATTTGAAAGGAACGAATGTTTATATCAATGAACACCTAACGAAGAAGAACGCTGACAGTGCCAAAAAAGCCCGACTGCTACGCAAGGAAAATAAAATTCAAGGAACTTGGACCTTCAACTGCAAAGTCTACATCAAACTAAATGGGGATCCTAATGTTGCTAAAGTTCTCTGGGTGAAGGAAGAAAACGAGCTGAGATGAGATGACAAGGTAAACATTCCCATTTCTTCACCATGACAGACACTATAACCACAGATTCATCCTCATCAGACAATGAGGACACAAGTGAAACACTAACATCTGAACTTCAAATATTCTCACTCGAAGACCTCAAAGAAAATCACCTAAATGATGTGAACCCTGACATGCACTTCTTTAATAACATTTGCCGTAGCTGTAAATATTATGATGACAATCAAATCTCATTATTAGATAAGCCAGAAAAAATGTCAATAGTTCATTTTAATTGTCGTAGCCTATATGCTAATTTTGAGCACATAAAAGAGTATTTGAATAAACTTAGCTTAAATGTCGCTGTAATTGCACTGTCTGAAACGTGGATAAAAGAAAACAAATTTGGGAATTTTGAGATTGAGGATTATAAAATGTTCACTCAAAACAGAAACCACAAATTAGGTGGTGGAGTTGCTCTATATGTGCATAAGGATTTCAATGTAAAATTAGTTGAGAATATGACAATGGCAGTTGACCATATATTTGAATGGGTGACAATAGAGATAATTCTTGAAAAAAAAAAAAAAATACTAGTCTCCTGTATCTACCGAGCACCGGGTGCAGATACTGACGTCTTTATTGAACATATTGAAAAGACATTTACTAATAGCCACCAGAAAGATATTTTTGTTTGTGGGGATTTTAATATTGATCTATTGAAAGCTAAATCGCATAAACCCACTGAAAAATTTGTGGACACAATGTACAGCTTGTCACTTTTCCCCTTAATTACACGGCCCACAAGGATAAATGCACACGGTGCTACATTGATCGACAATATCTTCACAAACGTTCTAAACAATATGACAAGTGGAATACTAATTAACGACATTAGTGACCACTTGCCAGTTTTAGCACAATTCGATATACAACAAAAAAGTAACAAAAACAAAAGTAATACTATGGTAAAGAATGTAAGATTAACATCTGACCGTTCGATAAACGCTTTAAATCAGAGCTTGTCTGATCAAGATTGGAATAATGTCCTCGGAGAACAAGATGTTAATACTGCATATGCAAATTTTGTTAACACAATCAAACAGCTTTATGATCAACATTGTCCCTTAGTAACGCGCAAATATACACAAACAAATAAATGTGTCCCATGGATGACGAGGGGGTTATTGAACGCTTGTAAAAAGAAAAACTCCTTATATAAAATATTTATAAGCAAGAAAACATTTGAAACTGAAACTAAATATAAAAAATATAAGAACAAACTCACAAGTATAATAAAGAAATGTAAAAGAAGTTACTATAGAAATATGATTGAGGCTAATAAAAACACCATGAAAGGATTATGGAAAGTCTTAAACCAAGCAATCTCAAAGAACTCAAAAACTGCAAATTACCCAGATTACATGATTAAAAATGATGAGAAAATTACAGAAGGGAAGAACATAGTCAATGCGTTCAATGATTATTTTGTCAACATCGGGCCTCACCTGGCATCTAAAATAGCTAAAACAAACAATGACGCTACTAAATATAAAAATATAAATACACACTCCTTTTTTCTCAAAGCTACAAATGAAAATGAAGTCATTAAAATAGTCAAAGCTTTCAAGAATAAAAAATCTACTGATTGGAACGATTTTGACATGACCATGATTAAAAAAGTAATACAAAATATATCAATGCCTTTAACACATATATGTAATCTTTCCTTCTCAACTGGTGAATTCCCAAACCACATGAAGATTGCCAAGGTCGTTCCAATCTATAAAAGTGGGGATAATCATCTGTTCACAAACTACAGACCCATCTCTATACTTCCTCAATTATCCAAGATTTTGGAAAAACTTTTTGCTGCTCGTCTGGAAAGCTTCATTAACAAATATAATTTACTCAGTGACTGTCAATATGGGTTCAGAAATAACAGGTCAACAGCACACGCCTTAATCAATCTAACCGAAGAAGTCACTAACCATATTGACAATAAACTGTATTCTTTGGGTATATTCATAGACCTCCAGAAAGCCTTTGACACTATAGATTATAAAATACTCTTAAATAAACTACAAAATAATGGGATTAGAGGGATTTCTAACAATTGGTTGAAGTCATATTTGACCGAAAGAAAACAGTAAGAACATGTATCAGGTTGGAGGAACATAACATGTGGAGTCCCCCAAGGGTCGATATTAGGACCTCAATTGTTTTTGTTGTACATTAATGATCTGTGTGAAGTTTCAACAAAGTTAAAATTTATATTGTTTGCTGATGACACAACAATACTATGCTCCAGCAAAGATCTTCAGCTGCTCATATCAGAGGTCACAACAGAATTACATAAACTCAAAGAGTGGTTTAATAGGAACAAACTATCGCTGAACATATCGAAAACAAAAATGATCTTATTTGGTAAACGGAATAGTAAAGTTCAAATTAAAATCAACATTGAAAACACTCAAATAGAACAAGTAAAGGAATATACATTTCTGGGTGTGATCTTTAATCATGAGGTTAGCTGGAGACCACATATAGACAATATACGTCGGAAAGTGGCGAAAAATGTGGCCATAATGGGCAAGTGTAGATTTTTTCTGGACCAAAAGTCTCTCTTCACCCTGTACTGTTCTTTAATCCTACCGTACATGCACTATTGTTCGGAGGTCTGGGGAAATACCTACAATAGTAATTTACTGGCTTTATATAGGCTCCAAAAGAAGGCCAATAGAATAGTGCACAATGTTGGGTATAGAGACCATACAAATATACTGTTCCTAAAATCCAATACCATGAAACTTGATGACCTGATAAATCTTAATACTTTGTTACATATGTATAAAGCTGTAAATAATCAGCTCCCAAACAACATACAACAAATGTTTTGTAATAGAGAGGGAAGTTACAATCTAAGAGGTTCTCAAAATCTGAAAGTACAATGTAGTCATTCAACCCTTAAAAGTCTCTGTATCACTCGGAGAGGTGTAAATCAGTGGAATAAGTTAGAAGAACACTTAAAAGATGCAGCTAGTCTACTGCAATTTAAAAGACTGTATAAGAGAAATGTGTTTGAGAAATATGCAACAGACTTGTGACCCCTACCATTTTTAGTAAATATTCTTGTATTTTTGTGCATTTGCGAAGTACCACATCATTACTGGAATAATTAATGTCACCAACTCTAAAGTATTTTGATTTGTATTACAGGAACTTGAGCGAAAGTACCGAAGGAAAGACATGCGAAATTGCTATCACTGCTTGCTTCCACTGGTAATTACTAAGTAAAATAGAATCAGGGCTGGCGAGAGATGGAGCTGTTGGAGGCACCCCCTTTCAATAGGTTCATAAATCTTGTCTTTTTAGTGCAACACTCAGTACAAGGTACAAAACGGCTCACATCTACAATCTAGTCAGGGCAGCAGGGTGAGGGCTCGCTGATGGGGGGTTACTGCCCCTTACCAGCGGGCCACACTACACCCTGGCTTTTTAACGCACCTCAATGAATAAGGCAAACAATCATAATCCACTGACAAAAAATCACAACCAATACTAATGGTAAATGCAGTGGAAATGGGAAGGACAGCAAGGTGAAGCATGATATTTTGGAAATGCAATTGCCATCGTCATTAAGGTGCCGGTGATAATGGTATGCATGCATGTAGGTATGTATGTATACATGCATCTATATTATAAAACAATGAGAAATATAAACTTCAATTAAATAAATCAATAGAATGGTGACCTGTTGTTATAAGTAATGACCGAACTTGGTATTTTGTAAATGGTTAAACTTAAATACTAATAATTGTTCGTACCTTTGTTATTATTACCCCTATTGGGGACTGCCTGCAGCTGGAAAATTAAATGCAGTTGAATAGGGGGTAGGCACTTATAAGCTTTCTTGCTTCGGCCTACTCCTTTTGAGGTAGTTCCTTTTCTTTTTCAATCCTTATTATTATTTTTATTTTTCAAAAATGTTAATGTAAATAATTGTAATAATGTACAAAGATGTGAATGTAAAACACAAATGGAAACTGCTCAAATAAACAAACTAACTAACTAAACATTGGACCATAACACACAAATATGTAGCCTGTCTATTGTCCTGAATTACAGCCATATCAATTATCTACATACAGAGAAATGCGTTATGGAATAGCCAGTTGATTACGCCTCCTTAACCCACAAAACAAAAACAAAAAAACCTTGCTTAAATGGTGCTCACCTGCCCTGTTCAAACGCAGGGGAAGCCATAGGAGACAACTCTATATTAAAGAACAGCACTCCCTCATTTGGACGAGATTCTTTTGGAGCCACCAGCTCACAGGACACCTGAGCCATCACCCTAGAGAATGACAGTAAAACTAAATCAAGATTTACAACATCATGATAGACGTGGGATCTGAAAATGATTATTACAGTTTACACAGCGTTACATACATGCTTATACACAGGTTTAATAGTGACACTAGTATACCTTGTTTTCCCCAAATCCACAAAGCAGCACCCATAGTCTGTCCCAAATGTGATTTTTATATTTCTGTAGTCATAAGTCTGTCTCCCGTCCAGGCGCTGTAACACACGTAAAGCAATAATAACATAATCATTGTCGATTCAATCCACTATTACGATGTATCTGACGAACTACCAACCTTTTTCTCCTCGATAGCTTTAAGCAGAAAGTCCCGCTCACAGTTTGACAAAGGAGTGTCCTTCATTACGGCTCGTGTTAAGTGAAATCAATATTTTATTTACGGGGTATTTGAGGAGTCGTGATAAACTTCAGCTTATGCTTCAGCTTCAGAAAAACCATGTGGGCGCCATCAATGTTTTGCAAACTCCAACCCGGAAGTGTATACTTGCGACGAAAAAAAAAAACGTTACTTCGAAAGCATTTGTGTTATGGTTATTATCCAGAACTTTATGGTCTATAAACCTCACACTATGATTGTCATATCAATGGTTCAAGTAAAACATTTTAAAACATATCAAATATACTTATTTGTATTATTTATGAGTATGATGCATGTATGAACTCCTGGGAAAATTGGTACTGTCAATTATTTCAATAAATATTGATCTAGCAAAAACATTGCAACATTGCAATTACACGAGTAATTGACAAAAGTAATGGTACATTTCTAGTCTTACTACTAGAAGCTTCTCCGTTGTTGGAATAAAGGATCTCTTGATTTTAGTAGTAGTAGTATTAGTAGCAGTAGCAGTAGTAGTAGCGGTAGTAGTGGTTGAAGTAGTAGCATAGATTGTTGTAGTGGTAGTAGCAGTAAAATTAGTAGTAGTAATAGTAATATTAGCGATAATAATATAAAGGGTAGTAGTAGAAGTAGCAGTAATAATAGCAGTAATACTTGTAGTTGTATTAGTACAAGTAGTATTACCAGATCAAAATACAAATAGGAACGAGGGAAAAAATAAATCCATAAACTAAACCAAATAATTGAAAATACAGAATTTTGTATAGAGACTTAATTAATATATGCTTTTCCCTGTTTTACTTGAACGCGTCCTGTCCCGTTAGCGCCAGAGTGAGTGCGTTGGCGCATGCGCAGTGTGGCTCTTCTTGCTCCGTTATCAGAGCTGTCATCCCTACATCCATGTGTCATCCCTCCTCTCCCCTCCTTTTCCTCTGTCCTCGGCTGCACCGCTCATCCTCAGTCCGCCTTTTCACACACATTTTCGGCTTTTCACATTGCGGAGAAACGCTGTAGATCAACGAAGAAGGTCCATTTACACAAAAATATCAAGAAGACCCAGGTTTGTTTGCGCTCATTCATTCCTCCGTCTGTGCGACAACCTCACTGCTAATACGAGGCTAATCATTTATTAACCATATTTGCGCAACGATATGCCCATGTATTTGCGCTAGTGTATTAATAATATGTCTTATTTTTTGCACGTTTTTTTTGTCTTCGACGTTGTTTTGTTCAGAAGTCTCCTTGCAAATAATATTAATGATTCGTTTTTCGCTAACATAACTAGCAATAGCCAGGGAGCAGGTGCTGCGCTGGATCGTCTCCCTCTACATTAGGAGGGGGATGCAGGTTTATTTTGTGAGAAGGAATGACGATTATGACTCTGCTATGACATGTGTATTATACTTATTTTATTTTGCAGGGACTGGAAATATATTATAATTGTGACGTTACATCTCTGGGTTACCTATAATGGTCCCTATAATGTACCCTTTTCTCTGTATGGATGCAATTTAATTCCCACAATAACTATCCTTTCCTAAAACCATTGGTGTATTGAAAAGTCATATTTTCAGCTAAACTGATCCATTAATAATCATACAGCAAGTATTTAACGTTAAACATGTTGTAATAATCACTCAAATGATTGCAATGTGGATATTTTGACTATGTCCCAAGACTGAAGCTCAACCACTAAATTATTTTGATGTTTGAGTTGGTTGCCATAACAAGGCGACGTTTACTCCTCCAGAACTAATCCAAACAAAGTATATGTTGTTTGTCTTTATAACACTGTTATTATTGTATTAAAAAGTCTCTAAAAAATTTTCCAAGTGTTTGCCCAACCAGTCAGGACCGCCTACATATTGACATGTTGAAATGTAGGCATTTGATGATAATGTATAATTATTGTAAAATCGGGTGGCTCAGGCTGGTAAGATGAGAAAAATATGTGCATGTGTTGAAATGTATTCCATTTGTATATGTTTATTTTCTCCAAATCCTCTTGTGTCTGTTTCATCTCAGTGCTGCTTAGTTCTTACTAAGCTGCATCAGCAGTTTGTCTTGCCTAGACAAGTATGTTGTCTCAGACAATCTTCTTTGCTCGTGTTTTCGAATTAGCCCTACACCTCAAAATATCTAAGAAGATTATTTATTTGGATAATGAAGGAAAGCCGCTCTCTGTCATGCTTTTAATCATGTGCAGATGCTGGCAGGGTGAGCAGGTGTGGGGTGATCAATAGAAGCTCATTCGAGCTGTCGCAGTTAAGGATAATATACTTGTGGCTTTTCTTCTGCTTTGGGATCAGCGTGTGGAGGAGCTGTGGTCATGTGAGCAGATGTTGGTGCTGCCTTCAGGCTCTACATTCATTTGAGTGAAGTGGGGCTATTTAGTCATTTATTGCCTCTACAGTGGACCCATTCATAAGAAGAGAAAATGTATGATTTACTAATCTAAAATTGTGCTGCAGAATGTAAACGGAAAAGTGGGTTTCAAACAAGCTGGTGTGTTTTCCTTTAGCATGTAACAACAGTTTTTAATTCAACTAAAATCTTACCAGAGGTTCTCAAACTTTTCTACCAGAGATCCCCAAAAATATGTGTGAAATCATCTCGCGACCCCTATCTTATTATTTCTGAATGATGATTAAAGCTGCACTAACTGACTTTATTTTCGTATTAATTACTAAAATGCTATCCGTGTAGTGCATTGGGATATACGTCCTTTTGAAGAAAAAGTAGCGCAGATTTGTGCTGGCGTAACATAATATTTTCGATCGAGTTTTGATGAAACAAGGAAGAGAATGTGTTTCGGGTCGCAGATTGTAACCAATCACAGCAGACCACTAGCCCCCACTTTTGTGAGAAATCTCCAGGTCTGTTAGCACAGACAGCTGAGTTAGCACAACAAGCGGCGGAGCTAACCTGAAACTTCCTCGTCTTCGTCACCGGGTACTGCTTACACAGAGAAACAGCCATCCAAAAGAAAGTCTCGTTCCTCCGCGCTTCCCGGTTCTATCGTTCTATGGTCACGCCATCCACGTGAAAATCCATATCCATGTATTATCCATATTGGGAGAGGCTAGCTCCGTCAACAACACTGTGTGTGTGTGGGGGGCGATAGCTTCGTGGGTGCGGGGAGGGGAGCAGAAAGAGAGAGGCCAGCGAGTCCGCGGCTTCAAAATCCAAAAGTCAGTTAGTGCAGCTTTAAGTAGTAATCATTTTCACAATTGTGTTGATTATGTGTTGGTTGTTTTTTTTGTTTTCTGCCTGCTAAAAACATTCACAAAGAGATACATTTGTTTTTTTTTCAATATTTTTTTGTTCCCGCTCTCTGAGGCAGAAGTCTGAGCAGAGATGTATCTATGTGCTGTTCTCGAATCATCAGGGGGAAAATCTATTATTGATTGACTGCGGAACCTTCCGCAGTCAACCATTGGTTTTGTATTTCTTTATTCCGTCATTTTTTTTGACACGTTTCACAGCTTTCACATTTTCAACAATTTCCACAAGTTATACATCAAAACGTTCCACATGTTTGGGAGATTATTGCTATTACTTTTGGGACTTCAGCGATTTCCGGTTTTTCCGCAATCGGACAAAAATCTGCATTGAGAATTCTGCAATGCATTTTAATAGGCCCATGCATTTTAATAGGACTTCAGCTCTTTCAGACATTTCTACAGTTTCAATGATTCAACAGTTTCAAGGATTCAACAGTTTCAAGGATTTCAGCAGTTTCAAGATTTCAAGAGTTTCAAGGACTTCAACAGTTTCAAGGACTTCAGCAGTTTCAAGGACTTCAGCAGTTTCAAGGACTTCAGCAGTTTCAAGGACTTCAGTGTAATCATGCAACCTAATAGGGATTTTTCCATGTAAACCAGTATAATGCAACTTAATAGGGATTTTTCCATGTAAACCAGTATAATGCAACTTAATAGGGTTTTTTCATGTAAACCAGTATAATGCAACTTAATAGGGTTTTTTTTTCATGTAAACCAGTATAATGCAACTTAATGGGGATTTTTCCATGTAAACCAGTATAATGCAACTTAATAGGGGTTTTTACATGTAAACCAGTATAATGCAACTTAATAGGGTTTTTTCCATGTAAACCAGTATAATGCAACTTAATAGGGTTTTTTCCATGTAAACCAGTACAATGCAACTTAATAGGGATTTTTCCATGTAAACCAGTATAATGCAACTTAATGGGGATTTTTCCATGTAAACCAGTATAATGCAACTTAATGGGGATTTTTCCATGTAAACCAGTACAATGCAACTTAATAGGGATTTTTCCATGTAAACCAGTATAATGCAACTTAATAGGGATTTTTCCATGTAAACCAGTATAATGCAACTTAATGGGGATTTTTCCATGTAAACCAGTATTATGCAACTTAATGGGGATTTTTCCATGTAAACCAGTATAATGCAACTTAATAGGGATTTTTCCATGTAAACCAGTATAATGCAACTTAATAGGGTTTTTTTCATGTAAACCAGTATAATGCAACTTAATAGGGTTTTTACATGTAAACCAGTATAATGGAACTTAATAGGGGTTTTTACATGTAAACCAGTATAATGGAACTTAATAGGGGTTTTTACATGTAAACCAGTATAATGCAACTTAATAAGGATTTTTACATGTAAACCACTATAATGTAACCTAATAGGGGTTTTTACATGTAAACCAGTATAAAGCAACTTAATAGGGATTTGTACATGTAAACCAGTATAATGCAACCTAATAGGGATTTTTCCATGTAAACCAGTATAATGCAACTTAATAGGGATTTTTCCATGTAAACCAGTATAATGCAACTTAATAGGGATTTTTCCATGTAAACCAGTATAATGCAACTTAATAGGGATTTTTCCATGTAAACCAGTATAATGCAACTTAATAGGGATTTTTCCATGTAAACCAGTATAATGCAACTTAATAGGGATTTTTCCATGTAAACCAGTATAATGCAACTTAATAGGGGTTTTTACATGTAAACCAGTATAATGCAACTTAATAGGGTTTTTTTCATGTAAACCAGTATAATGCAACTTAATAGGGATTTTTCCATGTAAACCAGTACAATGCAACTTAATAGGGATTTTTCCATGTAAACCAGTATAATGCAACTTAATAGGGATTTTTACATGTAAACCAGTATAATGCAACTTAATAGGGATTTTTCCATGTAAACCAGTATAATGCAACTTAATAGGGTTTTTTCCATGTAAACCAGTATAATGCAACTTAATAGGGGTTTTTACATGTAAACCAGTATAAAGGATAACAGTTTAAAGGATATCAGGAGCTTCAAATACTTCAGGAGTTTCAAAGATGTTTAAAGTATTTTAACAGTTTCAAGGATTTCAAGGATTTTTCAGCTAAATTCCACATTAGATCTGTTCCGCAGTCAATCGCAATGGCTTCAGCCATTGCAAGTTTCTAGTTGATTAAAGCTAATAATAATCAATATATGCCCTGACGAAGACCGCTTTTGGTCAAAACGCGTAGGCAGTTCATTTTATTAAAGGACTTTTATTTTTTCACTTAAAAGAGTGCCTCAGACTTCTTTTTCTCTTTTCGACATCCCAATAATCAATATATATTGATTATTATTATCTTAAAATCAATACATGTTTTTCCATCTTAAATCTGTGGAAGTGGATATCTTCCTCTGCATAGATTCCAATTAGCAGAGGTGTGGACTCGAGTCATGTGACTTGGACTCGAGTCAGACTCGAGTCATGATTTTGATGACTTTAGACTCGACTTGACCAAATATAAAAAGACTTGCAACTCGACTTGGACTTTAACATCAATGACTCTGACTTTCACTTGGACTTGCGCCAATTGACTTGTAAAGACTTGCGTAACCCGGGCCATTTTTACCTTTCTCCGCATCTCTCTTTCTATCTATGCCGTCTCTGAAGAAACAAAGCCTCGCGGTAGTTGTAGCGCTCGCGCGAGAGTTCGAACGTGAGTTCCCCGCAGTTCGCGCAGCAACACTTCCCTAAACAAGCGCACTGCATTCACCGGTGGGTGTGTTGTCTAGGGGAGCTGGAAATGAGCGAGCTGCAGGTATTTATCGCGACCTAACGTCATACTTTGTTCTACAAACCGTAATTGATATGCTTTCACTACAGGCGCCTCATACAATTGAATCGACGCAGTTGTCACACTGTGTGCCGTGTTTTAAAGAGGAACTGGCGAGTCAAACTAGCGCTAGCCTGCGCTGCTCTGTTGGCTATTTCTTATATTTTTCTGTGTGGGCACCGAGGCCTATTATTATGAGTATGTTTTTGCTGTGCTCCTCCTGCTAAAGTTTGCATACATTAGATAGTTGTTTTGATTATGTGCACTAAGCTAGATTAATATTTGCACTATTGTTTATGGTTCATTGATATGAGAATCAGTGCTTTGACTGATTGAATTAATTTATATGAGAAATTTTATTATGTAATGATATATTGGTAATTATGAGATATTACTAATGCTGGCCCAGTTCATACAGGCCAGGGTCCTTCCCCTCCATTGGTCCCTTCAGTCCTTTGGAACAATAACCACTATGGACATTAAACTGATTATATAGATACAGGTCCTAGCCCAATACTCATATTCATATATGCTGCACTTGCTACTTCCCATTAAAAACCCCAAAGATAAAAAGTATGTTGACACGGACTGCTCTGATTTTATGTGTGGTCTGTGCATGTGTAACTGAGCCTGCATCTGGCACAACATAGTTTTGATTTACCAGCAGCCAACCACATGGAACAAACTGTTAGTCCATGGGTCAGAGACCAACGAGAATGCACCAGCAAAATGATTCCTAACATTATTTTGTTTGCCTACAAAAGTACGTGGAGACCAACAAGAAACAAATCGCGGTCAAAAAGACTCGAGAGGACTCGAAAGTCAAACCGTAGGACTTGGGACTGACTTGAGATTTGTTGGCCTTTGACTTGGACTCGACTCGGGACTTGCCTGTCTTTACTCGTGACTTGACTCGGGACTTGAGGGCAATGAATTGAGACTGACTTGTGACTTGCTAAACAATGACTTTGTCCCACCTCTGCCAATTAGTAAAACAATTCCTCGACTGCTTCAGTCTCTCTTCACCCTTTCACTTATCTAGAGTTTATTTATAACAGTGAAACCTCCACGTCGCATCATAGCATTGTTTTGTCTCTAAAAATACACTTTTATCTCAGTCACACCTGCTCCCCCCTCCCCTCCCCCGCTCTGCCACGCCCTCTGACAATGAGACCCCTTCAGCCAACACTACAGCTCCAAGGGATTTCCATTTACTGTACATGTTTCAGTAAAAAAAAGTACTTTGCTCTCTACAGTACACTGTCTAAGTACATAGATCCATGCACTGACTGCTTTATCTGAAAATTTGTATTTGATTAATTTTTAGGTTGTTAATTAGGGCTGCACAATATTGGAAATTAATGCGATATTCGATGAGTGTTTAGTGTTGCGATAACAATATTATTGCAATTTTTTTTTTCTTTCACCTAAAATTTCAATCTGCCTTGAAACACAAGAGACAAATAACAAAAACATGAATTACATTCAAATGCAAATATTTATATACTTTTTGTTTGTTGTTTTTGTTGAATGTTGATGTGTCTGTCTGTTTTGTTGTATTTAATAAAGGAAAAATTATGTTTATAAATTTTCAATATGGATATTGCACGCACCAATATCGCAATATCTATATTTTTTCCATATATTGTGTAGCCCTACTGTTAATAATGAATGTATAGTAGGATAGTGTTGATAGTTTTACAGCCCTAGTGTAAATGAAATAGGCTCGTAGTTTAAACCCAGTCGTTTCATTAGTCCAATAAAAAAGGGGGCGTGATAAAGGCTGATCTTATGTATCTGACTCAAAGTGACACACGCTAAATTTGTCCTTTTATCACATAAAATAATAAAAGTATTAATAAACTTGTGAGTAGAGTTTGATCTGGCTTGAAATTTTAAAATAAAAACATCAGCTAATTTACTCCATGACTTATGCTTTTTGAATCTTTCCCATAGAAATCTTTGTCATTGAAATATTGTAATATAAAATATTTAGTTTACTTACTAAGAAACTATTGACAGATTAATCAACTAAAACTGAAAAAAGCCCTAAAAAGAACAGTGTGGAGCCTGTAGCTACAGAGTAAATAGTCTTCAGATTCTATTACTGTATTTTTCAGTCAATTTTTGCCATTTATATTAATAGCTTTGATAAATTGAGTATAAGTAAGTATGTGTTGGTGATTATCATTATGACTGCTGTCCTCCACTAAGGAAAGTGCCTGTGATTTAAAGTCCTGGATGATGTGAGTGAGACCAGTGTTGTATGTGTAACAGGATGCGGCTGGAGAGGCGGTGGCTGTGGGCTCTGCTCCTGTCCCTGCTGCTGGGATCGGGCCGAGCTCAAGACGACTCCGACTCTGAGATGGAGGTGGAGGACAGTCTGGGTCTGGACGATGAGGAAATGAGGGTCCTGATGTCAGAGGATGAAGCCGTCGCCAAAAGGTTGGACATGGAGAGCAAGAAGACTGCGGCCGACTCTGCAGACGCCAACATCTCCTTTCAGGTCAGTACTCCGGAAATGTGGCTTCATAATCCCCGCCTAAAAGTTTGGTATTTTATCCAGGAGCAGAGGTTAACAATATAATTACATTACTAGTTCTTATTTTGAATCTGGAATGTTAAGTACATTATTTTTGTTATATTCTTGGAGTAGGGCTTTACTAAACTATAATTTTTGAGTGCATACAGTATGTGTATATTTGCTAATGCTGTTTGGGGTGGGTCTGCTGGGGGGTCGGGTGGATGGGTTATGGGTCTATGGGATTGTTTTTAACCAAACTGTACAACACTTTTTGTTGCGTTTTCTGTATGAATAAAATGTGATTGATTGAACGTGTGGAAGAAGATACTGCGGTTGACTCTTGGAATAACACACATGCACTTCTTATTACTCTTGTGTAGGTGACATACAAGACCCCTGTGCCCACCGGGGAGGTCTACTTAGCAGAGACGTTTGATGACGGATCCCTTGAGAAGTAAGAATGGCACCTTCCTTCGCTTCTCTTAGATTAGATTTCTACCGGATGATTATTACTTTGCTCTGAATAACTCTGACTTAGACATACTTCTAATTAGACAGTAGTTAGAGTAAATAAGCTTATTCCCTGTTGCTGTTGTCTCCACAGTTGGCAACTGTCAAAAACTGTGAAAGGCGACGCTGATGATGACATTGCAAAATACGATGGTTAGTATTCTCCTCACTAACTGTGTGTTATTGTTATTCATGATTGAATCCTGGACTGAGCCTCACAAGTGCTGTTTTCATCTGATTTCCTTTATTTATATTTGAAGATAACTGTATATCTAAAGTAATTACTATAATATTCCCATAATTGAATTTCATATGCTAATTATTTTAACTATTTGTCACAGGGAAAAATATATATAAAATCACTTTACAGTCTCCTCTGGTTCCAAAACATCTTTGTGGATGTGTTTTTGCTGCAGGGAAGTGGTCAGTGGAGATGCTGAAGGAGAATAAAGTCCCTGGAGACAAAGGTTTAGTCCTGAAGTCCAGAGCGAAGCACCACGCCATCGCTGCTCTGCTCAACAAACCGTTTGTGTTCAAGGACGATCCTCTGGTCGTGCAGTGAGTACAAGCTAAACTTATTTTTATGTTTATTTTTAAAAAATATAACCAAAACTAAAAACAATGAAATGAATTTACACAGATAAAAAGAGGACCACAAAACTCACACGATGTTAAAAGCCAGAAAGTAAAAATGTATCTCAATGACAAATATCCACGACTACCTACAAGAGTCTCAGAATGATTAGGAATTTTTATCGATCCACCAAAAAGCTGTAAAGCATTTGCAAGTTCATGTTTCAAATGACATTGATGATTGGTAAACTCATAAGAATAAGAGAAACTGTATAGGACAACAAATACAATATAAGTAGCTGCTATGTTTGTTTGTTAGCTGTAAATGCTTCAATATCAAAATATCGATCTATATTAACGGCTTATTTAACGAGCGCGAGGTCTGTAGAGAAATATCAGACTGCGGACAAAAAGACCAAGGTCGGATATTTCTCTGTACAGACCGAGCAAGCGAGGTTAATAAATGTTTTATTCTATGACTATTTTTAATTTATGCAAATATCAATCTCAGTTGGTGATCTCCCGTAGGCCCCTCCAGACAGAAGCAGTATCGTTGTTACCAAACTGCTCCTGTAGTCGTTCTCTGTGCCGGGACTTGGCTGCTTTCAGTTCGTCCTTGAACTGATATTTAGCTGCTTTGTAGCCGCTAAGGTCCCCCTCCCTGAAAGCAGACTCCTTTGCTTTCCTGAGCTGCCGGAGTTCAGCAGTGAACCAGGGTTTGTCATGGTAACGGTCCGAGATGGGAAAATATCAGACCGCAAATCAACCAATCAGAGTGCGCGTACGATCCAAGTCATATAATAACTGTATATATTGTGGTAAGTTATTTACATACAAGTGATTTTCAGTGGACATTCTGAAATTGCAGTATTGCACATGATTACAGTATTTTGACTATTTACAGATGCGTGACATGTACAAGCAGTTTTCATTGTACAGTCTGACAGCAGCGGGAAGGAAAGACTCATGGTTTACTTACAATAAAAAAATAACTAATTTATGTATGTTCATATTTCCAATGTCATGTGTAGATATGAAGTGAATTTCCAAGATGGCATAGACTGCGGCGGCGCGTACATAAAACTCCTCTCAGATGAAGGAGATCTGAACCTGGTGAGTGTGAGCTGTTTATTTATATATATTAATATTATCTTTGAAAGGAGGTGATGTTATATACAGTATAATGGTGCTTGAATGTCCCTCTGCCTCACAGGAGCAGTTCCACGACCGCACTCCTTACACCATCATGTTTGGACCGGACAAGTGTGGAGAAGATTATAAACTCCACTTCATCTTCAGACACGAAAATCCTCTAAACAAAGACGTGGAGGAGAAACACGCTAAGAGAGCCGACGTGGACCTCAAGAAGTTTTACACGGACAAGAAGACTCATCTCTACACACTGGGTAACGCTGGGAATCTAAACTCCGCATTAAACATGTGCCAACTCAGAATTGAAAGGACAAAATGCTCCTGTCTTCCTGAAGAAAGACTTAAGCAATGCCTTGGCCTTCTGGAAGAGCAGGTGTCTCAAACTCAGGTCCGTGGGCCAAATCTGGCATGTGAGACAATTTTAAGTGGCCCCTGACTTGCAGTTTTGATGGTAAGGGGCCAAGGGCGTAGGTTTGCGTGGGGACCATGGGGACATGTCCCCACCAATATTTGGTGAGGACTAAAAAGTCCCCACCAAAATGACATGATGTCCCGTGACCTGGACGGTCCGGGACACATGTCTTCCGTTTGTGCATACGTCGCGCCTCCTCCTCGCCTCCAGAGCAACAGCAGCAGCAGCAGCACGTGACCCGTTCCGTTCTCTGCAGTGATTGGTTGTCTTCTTCAGCACCAAACTGAAGCACTGAGCGACTGTTTAATTTTTAAAAGTTAGCCAGCATGAAGCAAGTGTTTTTTTTCGTTCCCTGAGCGTTGTAGCACGTGAGTAATCAGAGGAAAGTACTGTAGATCTATTACCATTCAAAGTACTTACGTTATTTCTAATCTGTCAGCGCACTGTTTAATGTTCCGAGGAGCTCACACGGCACAGAGACAGAACAGAACTGGCTCCAATAAAGAAACAGGTTGGTTGAAAGGCTGAAAAAATACTTATTGTGCTCTTACTATCCAAAATGTATAAGTGGGTGTGTTGTGTGAATCAGGATAAACTAGGGATAAAAATATTCCACGGATCCACGATTTACAACCTTTATCTGCCGATAATGTAATTTCTGTGAAATGTGTGACAGCGGGCACTTGCTGTTATTTGCTCAAAGCACATTCAAGAGATGCACTCGAATGTGCACGTCCTGGTGCAGCTGCTGCCGCTTTGTAATGACAGCCGCGGCGCTCAGTGAAAGCACAGCTCTAACATGGTACCGAGCTCGGACCATATGCAGACAGAACCATGTTGCAAGTGCGGGTCTCCCTCGTATCTCCCCCGTTTCTCCCCTGTGTCTCTGACATGTCTCTCCCCTGACTCTTCCCAAAGCGCAACCAGCGCTCCCGAAATTAAAGCTCGGATACCTAAATTTTCCATTGCGTTAACGATGCATGCTGGTTGTGCGCAAAACACACCACAACAGGTCATTTAAGTTTTTATTTTGCATACTTGAGAGCCCTGTGAGTCATTACTTGCCTTTTTGGGTTGAGAGTGGAATTAAAAAAAAGAAAATATAGAAAAATCCACACTGTTACTTATTGCCAAACTCTTGTTAACTCATTGTATTGAGAAATACTATGTAACTTTTGACATTGGCCAAGTTATATAAATGATTCTGCAGTTCATGTATATGAATGTCTGTTTTTGATTGTCTATACCTTCTTATATAATTTAGAAAAAAGGCCACCTCCACAAAAAAAGATAAAAGATATCAGGAGCTTTTTTAACAGTTGGAAAGTAAGTAAGCGAAAGCACAAGTAATAGCAAATTATGAATTGTGATGATTAATCTTCTGTTAACATACATAGGAAACTCAACCAACAAGAGAGAACAATATAGGGAATGTTGAGGTAGAAACAACAGGCCCTTCAGTGCATCAGGCGAGGTTGGAATTTTGTAGGTATGCATGGGACTATGAATTGTTTTTAGAGATTGATCGTATATGTCAAACAATGTAGTGAGCTACTCACTGTAGATTCTTCAATATTTTCTCCTCTGTTTTTATTTATTATAGGAAATTGAAAGATCAGAGCATGATTTATTTCAAGTATCGAGAGCAGTTCCTGAACTGTTAGAGCCTCAGGTGAGGGCTATTATGTAGATTTGGATTAGGTTTAAGTCAGTATAGAATGAACGCAACACAAAACTCAGAAGCTCTGATCCAATTGATTTTGTTTTAACTATTAGAAAAAATCCATAACTGCTTCTCATTCAGTCTACAGCTGAGTTTAGTATAGAAGGCAACACACTATTGCAAATATAGTGTGTGATTACACAACAAATTCTGGGGGAGAAACTCTGGACCCCATGTCAATGGGTGTAGACTCAGGTCGTAGTGAATGTCCCCACCAAGATTGGAACCAAACCTACACCATTGTAAAGGGCTACTATGGCATGTTATTGTCTCTGGAAAACAACTATGTAATTGTATCTGGTCTGAAAAGTTAACTAAAATGTTGTTAGAAGTTTTTCAGTCTTTTCCAATACATCTTTTATTGGTTATTGTTTGGCCCAGTTGTGGTTGAATCAAAACCTACTTGAAAATATTATCCAAACTTATGTCAAATACAACTCTTATGCTGTTTTGTTTGGCCCCCGACCAAAATGACACCCCTGTGGGAGAGGGTCCATCCAAAAGACGATCCGAGGCAGATTACTCCATCCATCCATCCATTTTCTTCCCCTTAATCCATTTCTGGGTCAGGGGGGTGGCAGTCAGAGCTGCACCCAGTTCACAGAGCACCAGCCCCTCACTGATCCTCCTGCAGGTGGTGAGTCCACAGGAGCAGATTACTCTCCATGTTTTAATGTGATTATTATTAGTTATTATTGTAATCTGCCATATTTGTTGTATTTTCTCTTTTACAAATTGTCATTACTTTTAAACCTTGCTTGTATTTTTTTTTTGCTTATTCTTCATTCTTGCCTGTGATCTTTGCTCCAGTCCTAAACCCAGACAACAGCTACGAGATGCTGATCGACCAGTCCAGCGTGAGTCGTGGAAACCTGCTTCACGACGTGGTCCCTCCGGTGAATCCTCCGCGGGAGATCGACGACTCCAGCGACTCCAAACCCGAGGACTGGGACGAGAGGGCCAAGATCCCCGACCCTGAAGCTGTGAAGCCCGAGGACTGGTGAGAACTCGGACTGACTTAAAAACAACACAACTTTGAAGATTGTCAATGAGAAGCTGGAGACTTGTGACGCTCGAAATGTTGCCATAATACTCAAATATTGGGATTGTAATTATAGATAAAATTGCCATCACATAAACACAGTCATCACTCAACATCTTGTTTTTTCGCAGTTGTGACTAAAGTCCTACATTAAAGCTATGTTGTGCTTCTTGGGAGTCCCTTCACAAACCTACATGTCTACTTGTAAAAGATACGGATTTAACTAATGTTTGTGAACAAAAATAATAAAGAAATGAATAAAAGTCAGTTATGAAAGTCTGTAAACCCAGAGAGAAATTCATACAAAGGTTGCACCAGAATATAAGGCAAACTGTTGAAACGAAAACCTTTTATGTGCATCTTCTAGTGTGAAAAATAACCCATAATTGATCCAGAATCTTCCTCTTAAAACTAAATTTCTAAGTTGTTGACAATGTGTGTTTCTGTATTGACCCTCTTTGGATTACTTCTATAATCCAGGCAGAGTAACTTCATTTTGTGTCTTTGAATGTATGGTAGGTGCTAAACTTTGGCTGGTATTTATATATCAGCGTGTTTTCACAGATGGACATTCAAAAAATGGTTGTACGTTTTTCTTACAAATTGATTCTGTGCTTCCCAAGTCTGTGAGCGTCTGAGTCCTGTCCCTATTGAGTGTCTTTTTAAACAAATTAATGATCACATTGTATTTTATTTTGCACTTTTTCTCCCTTTTTGTTAGTGAGAGTAATTTTATACACTCGTATTGGTTATCTGCAAGATGGATCAAAGAATTATGTTTTTGACCTTTCTATTCACTTGCAAATGAACTGTTGTTGGCTTTTTCAGGGATGAGGAGGCCCCAGCTAAGATTGAAGATCCAGACGCCCTGAAACCGGAGGGTTGGCTCGACGAGGAACCTGGATTTGTCCCTGACCCCAGCGCGGATAAACCTGACGACTGGTGAGGACACTTCTCACTTTTTCCATTAAAGGGAACCTGCAAACTGTATTTGTTCTTTTTTTTTCCCTTTACTATTACTTTGTGTCGTCCTCATTAGTTCACACTTTTTCCCATAATACATACAACATAACAAGACACATTTTATTTAATTTTTTTCTTTTGTTTTTATCCTACGAAGCTCCACTTGTGTCAAAAAAGTGAAATAAAACAAAGTAAAAGTTAAAAAGTCTCTCGTTTCAATACAATTTCAATACAACTACCCATCATTAACTTCATTCATTTCACCTCGTGCAGGGACGAGGAGATGGACGGGGAATGGGAGGCTCCTCAGATCCCGAACCCGGCCTGTGAGACTGCCCCCGGCTGTGGGGAGTGGAAGCGTCCCCAGATCAACAACCCCAAATACAAGGGCAAGTGGAAGGCTCCGCTCGTGGACAACCCTAACTATCAGGTGAGACCCGCCGCGCTCTCAGAGGAACGGGGAAGCACAGCGCTGTTGTTCCGGCACTGCTGCTGAAGTCCTGCTGTTAAAGAGATTTGATTCTTGTATAGACCTAAATCACAACAGTAGTTATCTTGTAGGACTTACCAAAAGCATTGAATTCACCAACACAGATCCGAGAATCAAACAGTTAAAAAACATGAGCCATAGAGGTCCATAAATTTTGATAATGTTGTTATGTAATTCATCTTCCTATGTTTGTTAGTTAGCAGGATAACTCAAGTTTATGACTGGATGTATATAAAAAATCTTTAAATTGTAACACGGAACAAATGATACAATTATGGAGGTGATCTGGAAAACCTTCTGCACTGCACCTCTTGGCAGAGGTCTGCACTCTACAAGTCTTTTTTACAGTTTACTGCACCTTACTATGTTTGCTGATTTTTTCCGCCCCCTTTTCAATATGCAGATATTTCCACAGTGCGCTATGATACTAATAGTTTGTTGTGATGATGCTGTAAATACAGAAAGGTCTGTAGGAAGATATTTGTAGCAACTAACTAAATAATTGTCTGTTTTTAGCCAGTTAGCAGCTTTTACCGGTTCTGTGAATTCAGCTATTTTTTAAATCAGAGAGAGCAGCATGAAGTGAAAAACAGCTCTGAAGGTCACAGTAGAGGTGCAGAGACAGTAGAGGACGGAATAAAACTTGAGTAGTCCTGTGGGCAGGCACATGTTAGACAGAGAGGCTCACGTTTCTGTTATCACCTTTTTTTGTTTTTTTTATCGCAGATTTGGAACATAAGAGGAACGAGAAAAGAACTCGCCCAAATTGCACTTTATCCATTTTATTAGGGCACCTTTTATTTTGAAGTCTTTTTAGGTTGTCCTGTGTTTTATGGGATGGTGAGCCAAAGATGATTTTCCCACAACAACAAAAATTATTCTATCCATCCATCCATTGTGAAAGAAAAAGAAAAATGAATACATATATACATAGCACATATATACATAGCACATATTACAGCGACATAGCAGACACAAGCTCTCCTCTTTAGGATGTATCCAGTGCGTTTATGAATCCCTACCTGCATGCACAGACCATAGATTGTGACGGTTTGTCCTCTCACGTCTGCAGGGAGTGTGGAAGCCCCGCAAAATCCAGAACCCGGAGTTTTTCGAGGACCTGCACCCGTTCAGGATGCGACCGTTCAGAGCCGTCGGCCTGGAGCTGTGGTCCATGACGTCTGACATTTATTTCGACAACTTCATCGTCACGTCTCACAAAGAGGTGGCCGACCGCTGGGCCTCGGACACATGGGGGCTCAAGAAACTGGTGGCCAGCGCCAATGAGGTGAGAGAGGGGGGGAGAGGGGGAGAGGGGGAGAGATGTCTTGGCAAACGATAAGACAATATACAGTAGGTTACAATTCCATTCCTTTCTAAACAGCCTTTAATTTGTGTTGGATTATATAGTGATCTGGGATTTCTTTCAAATATTTCTTCTTTCTTTTAGAATTTTATTTGCATCTTCCCTCCAACTGATATACTGTAGAACTCCCCAATATGAGCGCAACCTTCTGAAGATACCGTATGTGCTGAATAGAATTTATATTTACCATATGAAGAACTGATAAAATATGAGATAATTTGTGTGTTTAGGTAAAAATGGTAAACTCTTTTTTAAACCTTTTTGAGGAAATGTGTTTTTTGAGTGTGTAGTGGACAAAGAATATTATTAAGTGTTTTGACCATAGTTTATACAGATTTGGTCTTGTATAGTTTCCTAATGTATTCTGAAGCATTCAACAAAATATTGGTGAATTGGAAGTATATAGTCTCTTGAATTGTTTTTTGTTTTTCAACAGCCTGGTGGTCTGAGGCCCCTGCAATTGAAAATAATGACTTAATACAGAGTTGAAATCTTGTTTTCTGACTGAGTGCCATTGTCCTGTTGCCTTCAGCCGGGGATCTTTGCTCAGCTGACGATGGCCGCGGAGGAGCGCCCGTGGCTCTGGGTGGTCTACGTTCTGACTGTGGGACTCCCGGTGGGTCTGGTCGTGCTCTTCTGTTGGCCAAAGGTACTGAGAAAACAATCCACTACTTTTCTTCATTGACAAACATACAAACAAAAAATATTTATAATGCAGTACTGGGGTTTGAGTGACCCTGAAGCAAACATAATTAACCGTGGTCATATTTACTTGTTATAGTGTCTACGTTTAGAGTTAAATGAGCTTTATGAAAGAAACACTGCCATCTACTGGTGACCAAGAGTAGTAAAACTTGAAATGCCATTTTAAAGGACAACTCACCCTCAAATCCACTTTTTTTTGCTGCTAAACGGTATAAATGAGTGTCCAATAGTGTTGTCTACATATCCTGGTCATAATCTTGTCACTTTGGTGCAAATTAGTTGAAAGTTAGACTTTCTGCCTAAAACCGTCTGTGAGGCGCCATCTGCTGGCGACCTGTATTACTACATTTGAATTTTGAATCTGGCGCCAACACTGGCACAGAAGTTGGACCTGACGTCTGCAAGTTGGACCTGACGTCAGCAGCCCCCCGCCCAGAGCTATATAAACGGCCCAGTCTCGTTCACGCCCCCTTCAGTCCTCCAGGCTACGCCCATTTAGAGGAAGATTTGAACAGGAAATGTGAGTAACGTAAGCTCCGAGGAGCGGGGGTGAGAACCACTTTAAAGTTGGGATACCTACATTTTTTGTCCCAACTGAAAGAGTCTTGTAAAAATGTAATGTTTTGAACAAATTAGACCACAACATTCTGTCTTGATCTTATGAGAAAGCATTTTGTTCTGTGAGACAGTCCTTGGTTAGTTATGGCCCTTTATATTAGGCATGATTGAATTAGATATAAGAGGAGATTTAATTACTCTAAACAATTACAAGATACATACAGAAAAAAAACACAAGGACACATGGTGGAGAGAGAGAAACTCGGGTTCTCAGCAACAGGCCTTCTGCTACATAAGATAAGATAGACTTTATTGATCTCACAATGGAGAAATATACTGTACGTGTCACATCTGGCATAGATAGAATCTTTCAGGTTGTGCAAAAGGCAGGAAATATGCAAACATGTTAAAAGGTTACATGGTATTGTCGGAGAGAGGCTCCACAGACAGAGAGAGAACACAGTGAGAGACACCCCCAAATATATCAGGCACACTCGATTGGTCAGCCAAGACACTGTGGTGCCCGCCAATGGAGAGAGACCATTGATAGCAAGACATCCTGGAAATTCATCCCAACAAGGGCGGTCCTGTCTTTTTAACTTTTTTGCCCGAAACATATTATTTGATTTCACGTGCATGTAAAAACTGATGCTTCAACCCAAATGTTTTTAGAGCAAGAAACGAGATACATTGATATTATCAGTTATATATTCTGTGGTTTGAAAGTTAGATATCCCATATTTTCAAATAGATTGGTGTAAGCACAAAGTTGCTATGGGCGCTAATTATACAGTACATACAATTGTTTATGATAACAGTTCTGGTTATGAAGTAACAGAGCAGAGATATTATGCTACACAATGAGACTCAGAGCTTATGAAATTCGCCACATGGAGGGAAATGAGTTTTAACAGGGGAAAAAAGATGATAAGGTAAATTAAAAATGTAGGAGTTAACAAGGTGTCTTAAAACCCCTCTAAAATTATTACCAGTCTCTGCCTCTGACGGCACACTGACACAAACACAGTACCATATCAAGTATTCCCCAATTCTCCATTACAATAAAATGTGTCGTCCTTTTTGTTTGGTCCAGAAAACAGAAGATGAGTATGTGTACAAGAAGGTGGACGTCCCCGCGGAGGACGCAGAGGAGGAGGAAGAGGAGGACGAAGCTGCTCTCGCCGAGGAACAAGGACCAGAGAACGGAGACGCCACGTTGGCTGAAGGTACGAGCGCAAACTATGATCCATGATCCATTAGACAAACGGGCTCAAAGCAGTGTGGTAAACAGTGACCTATGTACTGCACAGGTGGACAAATGCAAGACAAAATAGTATTAATAACCTGGCCTTGTGGAGGTCTCAAGGACCACAGAGACTTTCGTTGTTTAGGCTATTTGTGCCGAAGGTTTGGCCTTTTCTATGATGACGTAGATTTCCATATATAATGTATCTGTGTCTTTTGTTCTGCCTGAAAATTAACGACCATTTTGTGAATAAACCAGCCAGGAGGCTTTGTCGTACAAAGATCCCAATTTGCCAGAGTCTGATTCTTATCAGCAGGTTTAGTGAAAAGAAACCGCTGTAGAACAGGGCCGTGCCAAAATATCAGGATATATTTGTTTATTAAAATACTGTATGTTGGCTGCTGTTTTATCATGAAGGGAATTTGTCTTTTAGCAAAACATAATTACTGGAATACATAGATTTCATGCATCTCAAAATATTATTCTTGATTCTCAGTCATTATGTGTAATATTTACTGTGGCAGAAAATACTTTTTTATTACTCTCCTATTTCACATTTTAATATTTAACGACTCTATTTACAAACTTCATCCAAGATCCAAATGACACCAATGATTATTCAAAAGAATGCTTTGGGAATTGTGTAAATTTCTCTGTTTGGTGATTAAAACGGGGGAAAAAAACTGTTTTGTCAGGAAATAACAAGATATTCAAGCTGTATCTGTATTATTTGATGTTTTTCGGAGCCAATCTAGATCATACCTCACATTGAGGCTCTAAAAAACGATTAATGAAGAAAATAATCGCTATTCATCAAAAAAGAATCGTTAGCTACAGCTGTAACTTGATTTATGGATAAATATTATTGGGTTGATCTTAAATATCATGTGTCACTTGAACAGCATTCTACATTCTCCTTCTGTAAAACAACTGTTGTGTCTGCAGCTGATGAGGAGGAGGAGGAGGAGGAAGAGGAAGATGAGGAAGAAGAAGAGGAGGAGGAGGAGGAGGAGGTGAACGGTCTTTCAGGGGACGATGACGAGGAAGGAGAGGAGGAAGCCAAAGCCACAGAGACGAGCGACCTGGTCAGTGAAGGAATCCTAGTACATGTGGGGTGAGGGTTAGAGTAAAGATACTAGAGTACTGTCCGTCACTATTAAAGTTCCACTACGTAACTTTTCCGGTGGTTCTGCTTCTGTCCGTGGAGGTGTTACAGTACATGCTCGACTGTAACACTATGAAGATGTGGAAAACCAGTGCAATAGTCACTTTATGGAACCAATTATATAGAAAATACCTTAACATTATTTAATGTTTGTCTTGTGGATGCAAATTAACAGAAGGGGATGCATGAATTAATACCACAATATCTTAAAATGCATATTCACATCAGCTGCACGTGAATGTTTGGCATCTTGAAGCCAGGGTACCTACATTTTGATTTAAACAAAAAATGGAGTCATATGAACAAAAGAGCTTTGAAATGTTGTTCTATTGCTAGTTTTCATGTTTTCTTGTCCTCTGTCACATCTTTTATATCAGCTTTTTCAGAAAGAAAAGATAAAAAAAGAGAGGAGGCCCTTTCTCAGCCAATCAGCTCTCAGCCCAAAGAGTCAAATAATGAGTCATCAGTGAAATACAGCAGAGTGTGGTCTGATTTGTTCACATTTGATGAGACAAAAACATATATAAAGTTAGGTACCCCCAGCCTTTATGTAAGTAAGCTTTATTTATAAACCGCCTTTCACAGACCAGAGTCACAAAGCAGTTTACAATTGTTATTTTTGGGCATTTGTCCCTCACTGCATACAGAGATGGGAGCGGGGTCAACGTACAGGAGGCATGCCAGACCTATTGTGCATGTTTTTAGTGGTAGGGGAAACCGGAGCACCCGGAGGAAACCTACACAGACACGGGGAGAACATGCAAACTCCACTCAGATAGACCCTGTTCCGACCAGGATTCGAATCCAGGACCTTCTTGCTGAGAAGAAAGTGCTATCCACTCAGCCACCGTGCTTTAAGATGTTACCTTTATTTACAAAGTGCAATTTTGTCATTAAGTTTTAAATGTGAAAGTCAAGTTTATTTATATTGCACATTTACATCTTCAAGAGCCTCAGAAGGAATTAATCTGTAATGCATATTATAAAAACAAAAAGAGAAATGCACAATATAGTAAAGACATGATAATAATTAGCAAGAAAATACCAAAATACTATGAAATGTTTACCTTTGAACAATAATTTAATTTACCGTAATCCTATATTATTGTCTATAATTTTTGTCTTTTGTCGTTTTCCCAGAGCAAAGGCGAGGGCGAGGGCGAGGGCGAGGAGGACGGTCACAAACAGTCAGTGAGAAAGCGAAAAGTCCGTAAAGACTGAGGAGCCGGAGCAGGGGGACCACTGCTGCCCCCTAGTGTCCCATCAGAGGAGGAGCCTCTCTCCTGCTGCAGCTGCGTCCGTGAGTCTTTTAGGAGCAGCGACCAAACCTCCTCCACAACGACTGCTCCTCCCTCACGCGATTCAAAACAAACCAATCCACATCCAAGTCCCGTTCAAACACAAAGACAATGCAGTATTTCACAGACAATTCTCACAAACGGATTTAAGTATTTTTGCATTGATTTTTACGACCGCACACGAACGTAAAAACCCAGACCAGACCGAGGTTTTAACCAGGTCTGAAGTTGTTTAATGACCGGTACAAACATGTCATTTTAAAGTCTTATTTTTGCCATCTTATCTTCTCATGGTCGTCTTGAGCAAGCATGAACTTTGTAGATACATTCGCGTAATAATATAACGAGAACACATACAAAATATACATTCATTTGAAGTCGACATATCTTTTTGTTAGTTTGAAATCCCATCGGTCTCACCCTGCCCATCGCTCCACTACGACCACGATACGCCTATATTGTTGCATCCTGCCAGTTCTGAAATGTTAAGGGCGCCATGTTCCTATGTTTCTATAGATAGTTCATAAATCAGCCTTGAGAAAAGCGGTTGCCAGGTTATGGGGGAAAAATCTGTTCTTGTTATTTTTGCAGATTTCAGGGCATTTCTGCAGAATTACTTCTCTTTTCACTGCTGTTTTCTTGTTTAGACGTTGGATTAGTTTGATAGAAGAACCACTATTTTGTCTATTTTTGAGTCTGGCACTGATTCTATATAGTATTTATTATCTGTCTGTCTGATGCCTGTAGAGGAAAGATGCTTTATTATGAATTATTTAAGGCAATTTCACACAAATATTTGTTGGAATACTTGAAACGGAGGTTGTATTTTGTAGATAAGGAAAACGCTTTGGCCTAAAAAAGAAACAAAACAGCCTCTTTACCCAGTTTAAAGATGTGTATGTCCGTATGCTCCAGTGCTTTTCCAGTTCTCTTCCGTAGCTGGATTTCTGATCCGAGATTAACTGGGAGCCAATTTATTTAGATTTTTTTGAATTTTGTCTGATGCTTTTGTAGTTCATATTTTGGCCAGATGTTGGCGAATGTTCCTGTTTACATTTGTTTGCAAAGTTGTACATTGCTTTGAAAAATAAAATTATTTAATACGAAATGTGCCTGGTTAAGACGTCTTTCGTTTTATAGATGTTGTTTTGACCATAAGAAATTGTAATTATTCAACTTTTAAAGGAGTTATTGCTTTTCACAATTTATCATTAACTGTAATTTAAAGTTTTGATATAGAGCTGAAAAGTAAAACAAGTGTACTGTCAAAAGAACGTACTAAGATTAAGAAAATGTGATACAATAGATTTTATTTCCTTAATCCTGATATTGAAAATTTATGAATAGTAGCCAAATCACTATGCGTCCATCCCAGTGGGGGCAGGTCCCGGCCCTAAAATGTCCAGAATGACGTGCGCTGACATGCTTGCAAAACCACCCACGGGCCGATGGGGGTGGACCCGGAACTGTATGTATCTTCTTACCTCTCGAAATCGTCTTTACAGGATGGCTCAAAAGTTGGCTCTAGTTCCACATGTGTGTCAATGCTGAGGGGAGTGCTTTTTTGGGCCAGTCAGTTGTCGCTGTGCATTTGGAGTCACTGCCAATGATGGGGTGCGGCTGACATTCGCAAATGCATTCTTCCCATTTCGCCTCAGTGGCATTTGAACTGCCATAGGCGAAGGTTGCCATAGTTTGAACAGCGGAGACACGTCCGTTCATATTTACTGTCTATGGTCCATCCATGTTTTTCCGCTTTATCCCTTAGCAGCTGTCTAAGCGGAGACGCCCATACTTCTCTCTCCACACACACTTCCTCCAGAGGCGTTCCCAGGCCAGCTGAGAGACATAGTACCACCATCGTGTCCTGGGTTTTGGACATGCCTATAGAAAACCCCCCACCCCGCCCATCCGGAACTAATGGCAGATCAACCTCAATTGTCTCCTCTCAATAATACCATACATACAGTATATAAAACAAAAAGTCCACTCAACACAAATAGTTATCAGGCTTTTATTAAAATAAAGGTGCAGAGTCTACACACTATCACAGCATGTGTAGGTTTGGGCATTATCCACGTGCCGTCCACAAATCATTAATGGGTTACAACTGTACAACTGTTAAAAATATCAAACTAAAAATAAATTACAAAATATACAGTAAGTTATAACGCAATATTCCACCTTTTGTTCAGCACCATATTCTTCTTAGCATTGACATCACCACAGAAGGGAAAATGTAGAGTTCTGTATTTGTAATTTTTTTCCTTTAGGTCAGACACAGAAGTAGCCACACCCGACCTGGGGCGAAGCATCAGCACATTTTACAGTCAGGCCTCTTATCGGCTCGGGTGGATCAATATCACTCAAGGTCTTCTAACTGCCTTTGTTCTCTGGCTGCGAATGAAAACACAGTCTTTGTTTTTAATTTCCTTTCCTTCCTTTGTCTTCTGAAATGGCCCCGATGTAACACATTAATGCGTTTTGTGGTTTTAAATTGTTTTCATTCAGTTACATCCAGTCAAATGCGAACGGGTAGACCTGCTCGTGATTTCACATGTCGCATTTGAATGGGTTGAAATGTAAGTTTTTGTATAATTATTCTAAAACAAAATTGAGATCAGATCAACTACATAACTTGACGTTTAAACCTGGGGTACCTCAAATTCAAATGTTATAAAATGCACCGACCTATCGCTCCTAACTCTCAAAAACACAGCTAAATCTTACATGTATGTATATATATATATATGTATTTTTAGTCTCCGATCACTCAGCTTTTCTCAGACAGACGAGTGAAGCAAGCACTCTTTTGGGACAAATCTGTCCCAAAAGAGTAAAATACTGACTTAAGAATGCAAACAAATCAGATAAAGGCAGAATGGCGAGATCTGATTTGTTCCCAAAATTCAGCTTTTGCAAATCTCTTTCTGTTAGCACAAACAAAACGTATAATTTATGAAAAAAGGGACAAAACGTTAGGTACACCAGCTTTAAATGCAGTCAAACCAATGTGCTTCTTCCTGTATTTTTGGTTGAATACTTATGAGTGTTAATATTATAGAAAGACTGATGCAAGACAAAAGGAAGGCCAAGCAGTCAGTCCTTAGCAGATGTCGAGGGTTGCTGGAAGCGTATATGTAAAAATCTCAGTTTCATTAGTGGGTGATAGGAAATCGCAGCGCCATAAACGGAGAAAGGTTTAGTTCATACGTGATCTCATTCAAAAACTAAAATAATTTTAAAAAAGAACATGCACAAATCTTGCACAAGTCTTTTTGTAATACTGCTCTGTTTTAACAGTGGGGTAGAAGAAACGTGCTTTCATATTTACACCATCGACAACTGAACTGAGCCGATGAAATACAAGACTTAAAAATAATTAAAGAATAATGTTTTAGATCGATTCTATGTTCAAAGAGGCAAACGCTTTAGGAGGAAGCTGCTTCAACAGGCTGAGTCCAAACAGATTCTAATAACTTTGCAATTCTAAGATAGAGATTTAGTATCAAAAAAGAATAAATGTTGTTCCTAATCGTCGCTAATAGTAACAATGTCCATTTTTGTCTGACGCTCACATTACAGTAACATTCAACATTAGAAAATGCTGAAATTCAGGGCCTCCATGATTAATTACAAATCAGTTTTTGTTTTATATAAAGCTTATTCCTAACTATTCTCCAAATTATCAAGCAAAATTATCTTCACAATAGCTATACAGTCAAATCCATACGCATGGTCAAAATGGGATTACAAGAGGAGCATCTCTGGACCTCTGGGAAAATGTCAAATATTAATACAGTAATAATCACGTATAATGCCTTAACATGATCCAAAATGCATGTTCTTAAACTAGTTCATATCTCTCAAATGTTACCGCTGTGAGATGAGTTTAAACCTATATGGTAGGGCTGCACGATTTAACGCAATCGAAATCGCAATTTTCCTTGATCTAATGACAACACATTCCTGCTTCCTGGTGCGTTTATGTGAACAGTAGAGACACACAAGGAAGTGTTGGGGACATAATTTGAAGTTATTTTCAAACAAAAAGGGGACTAGAGATGTGCAAAAACACTTGATTTTGGGGAAAAAATGTATGTACAGTATGAAAGTATTTTTGAAGGCAAGTCAATGGAACAAGGAAGTAGCTTTCACTTTGATCTGAATAAGAATTTTGTGAGAAAAGAAAAAAAAACTACTTATTTATATATTTTTTTAAATGTATGCAGTAATTCTTTTATTTCTACACCGCAGATTTTTTTTTTTTTTACTATATTTTTTCCCGAAACTTGTATATGGTAAACGCTTGATTGTTAGGTAATGTCTCCATAAGGTTTTGTCAAATTTATTTCTTGTTATTTTACTTTGAACTAAATGAGACTTTTTAAACATAGAGCGTATTGAAAATCGCACTATGGTCGCAAAATTGTTCAGAAATATTAAATTTTTTGCAAGAGTGTGCTGAAATGGTGCAGCCCTGGCATACAGAAGTGAATCTCTTTGTTTTGACTGGAGCCTGTGAAGAAGCCCCGTCTCTGTGCCGTGACCCTCTCTCCGTCCAGTGCGAGCGTTCACTTCCTTTTGCTCTTCGTGTCGGTGGTTTGGAAAACGCTGGACGCCGACATCAGGTTCTCGATGTACTGCCCCAACACCTGGTTTTCCGACTTCAGCTTCAAGTTTTCCTCCTTCACTGCATCGACTCGCGCTGATAGATCTGCAAGAAGCACGGGAAGAAGTTCAGTGCTCGCTGGACTATTAAGTTCGGCAAATATAGCGATGCAGTCAATCTATGCATTTTTATTATGTTAGAGCGCCCCATGGGTTGCAGGACAGATATATGTATCATATGTACATGTTTGTTTAATAAGCACCAGTCACGTGACGGCCTTTGGTCACGTGACTGGATCTTTAAAAATGCTACCAGGTGTGTCTGGTTTTTCAAGTCTGACGAAGGGCCTCAGCCCAAAACGTTACTATTTTGTGTGGTATGTAAATAAATTACACTGTTTTTGGGAGCTACATAGCTGTGCGGATTATTTTTCACTGTTTTCTACGTCTTGCATTTTTTAATCCAGCACGCCAGCTCAGATTACAGGGATGTGCGGCCTTATTTGACATTTTCTTGCAGGACAGATATGAACACAGCTCTTATCAGCTAAAGAAGCAGCAAACATTCCTGCTCCGTGGTGTGTTTATGTGAACAGCAGCGAGACAATAGAAAGTGCAAGAAAATACATAAGACTTGTTTATATGTATAGCCCTAATCACATCTGGGCTATAGTCAATTTTATTAATTTGATCTCTTCAAGTTTAAGTTGGAAAGTAATTGCTTTGAAAGTTTTGCATCACACACAAACCAGCGGCTCATGTCCAAGTGCGGCCTATGTGTGGGGAATAAACACACTTTCTTTTAGAAGTTTATAAACGGATGCGCTTAAAAGTCCAGCAAGTACTGCACTATTAGTGTGGAGCTCTTTTTACTCACTCACATGTCGCGATGAAAAGAGCTTTGTCAATTAATAAGAAAGGGGTGTTTCAATATATAATTTAAATCGCATTGAAAACACACAGCCATTCGTCCTTCATAATAAAAACAATATAATATGCCATTAAGACACATAACTTAGATTCATGCCTTTTATAGTGGATCATATTTTGTTTTTGACGTAATAATTAGTTTAATTTGATCAAAGAAATGTTTTAGAATGAAAACAGGCAATTTTATAAACTAATGAGTACATGTTTTTTCCCATACCTTCCAGCGTGTGTTGCAGTTCCAAAACTTGATTTATTAACCGGGTCTTCTCCTCCATCTCTGCCTGGTTTTCCAGATCTCCTACAAGACATATTTAGTACATAGAGTACAGAATATATTGTTAATGCCTCTACATCAGACAGAGATAACCAAACGTACCATCTATGTCACAGTTCATGATGAAGAGCTCGGTGTCTGGTTTAGTATACAGGGCTGCAGGTCCACTGTCCACTGCCAGAAGGAGAAACTAGTTTAGAACAAGTTTATCAACATTCAAATAAAGAGACCAACTATCACTGCCAGTTTAATGCCCATTGTGGTCACTGTGTTTTTCCCTAACACTTTGAAAGAAAAAAACTGCAAAAAAAAACTTTACACCGAAGCTGCTGTGTGGTCCAAACTTAAAATGTTTGGAAAAAAGCAAATAACATAAAGCTGTTTTTTTCCAGAAATGTTATGTTTAACACTAACAAACAATGGGTGGGGCCCTGAAACTTTAAGACATAAATTACTACTGAAATTAATAAATAAATGATGCAGGGAAACATTTGTAGGAAGCCAGGTTGCTGTATATAAAGTGGTGTTGTGTGGCTTATTATTCTTACTGTTCTGTAACTTCTGAAGCAACACTGAGATCAGAATCAGAAATGTCCCCACTGTGAGACTAAAAGGATTAAAGGATCCCTTCATCTTAATGCAGCAATGATCCTACTTTTGACTCATAAAAGGGTTAACAAGAATATGTATTTCTTAATCTGCTTTTCCATACTCTTCTTGTGTTGCGCCTGGTGCCTTGTACTAGTGCTAGCTCTTCAGCCCTGTTCTTTGACTTTACAATCTAACGTCATAGCAGGGTTCAAGATTTAACAAATAAAAAACAAAATATAAATGGCATCCAGAACAGTCATGCTAGTACCATTGTTTCATACAGACAAACTTATTGTATATTTGAAGAGAGCCATTTAATATTTTTATACATAATAGAAAGGGAACATGAACTACTTTTATTATAGACATCCCATCCCCAACGTTGGGGTACCTAACTTTCAAACCACAATAAAAATACATGTTTAGAAAAGATTTTACAGACTGGTAGAAGGGGGAAAAGAGAATACCACCCTCACTCAGTATTTAACTTTTACACTGTTGGGAAAAGCAACATGTATAATCTATGAAACTATGTTAGGAACCCTAGCTTTAACATTACATTACAGAACACACAGTAATCCTTTCCTGGCAGGGGGTAGATTCCTTTATACAGTTATGTTATGTTGGGTATACAGACTGGACACCCCACCCCACAGCTCTGCAGATGTGATGCACTAGAAAGGCCTGGTACATTAGTGCATCAGCCAACTTATGAGGGCAGCATCAGCACACACAGCTTAAGACAGGAGGATACATGCTCTTATTGAGGTAAAACAACACGACTAAATCATAAGGCGCCCACTGATAAACTAGTCGTGTCTGATTACCCTGTGTGGACATTAGCCTAGTTAGCTAGTTAGCTGCCTTAGCAAAATATACGGGCTTTAGCGTCACTCTTGGGGAAAAGTAGCGAACGTAAATCAGGACATCATAAATGAAATGTACTGTGCATATATCATTGCAAACACACGTCACTGTGTCCACCGAAAAGATTGTTAAAATAAGATGATAAGATGAAGTGTGTGAGGCTAAAATGGGTGTTGTGGCTAGCGGCTATCATGCTAACATCTAGCTTAGTTACTCTAAACTCAGCTACGGTCACAAATCATATGCAAGCGAGTAACTAAACACCACAACACCACTGTCACTCACCACACGAATGAAGAGATTTCTCCGTCTGTTGGAGGTTTTATACGGGTATAAAACGAGTGAAAGTGTCCTAGGAGACAGCTGATGATTGAGACAGGACTGACGCTACATCCACTCCGTCATCTCAACCCAGCTGTAGTGACCACAAGCAGCCAGAGAGGGCGCTAACTAGACATAAACAGTGGTGGTCCCTGAGTTCAGTTTATTCAGAGTTCATTCTATCATGGGGATAGCTTTGCTTCTAGGTTAATTTATTAATTCATTGTGGTTTTGCCGTGCTTCTATTAAGTTCATAAATTAATTGTTCAATCATTCATTGTGATTAGCCATGCTTCTAAGTTCATTCAGAATCAGAATCATTTTTATTGCCACGTAAGTAACAGGAGGTCACAGACTTGGAAATTGCTTTGGCTCAGTGCAACAGTCAAAAAGAGATAATAAAAATAAGAATAAAAAACACTTCTAAAGAATAAATTTAAATTTAAAATAGAGATACAGTTACTATTTACAATATACAAGTGCACATGGTGCACACAATGTAAGGTGACAGCAGTACAGTGAAGTAAAGTGACGTATGATGGGCAGTAAAGTGACTTTATAAAGGGCGGGGGGACAGGTTAAGAAGTGTTCAAGAGTCCAACAGCAGAGGGGAAGAAACTGTTCTTGTGGCGGGAGGTTCTAGTCCTGATGGACCGCAGCCTCCTGCCTGAGGGGAGTGGTTGGAATAGTCCATGTGCAGGGTGAGAGGGGTCGGCTGTGACATGACCAGCCCGGCCTCGAGCTCGGGCGACGTATAGGTCCTGCAGCGATGGAAGGCTGCGGCCGATCACTTCCTCTGCAGAGCGCACAATGCGCTGTAGTCTCTGTTTGTCCCTGACTGTGGCTCCAGCGAACCACACGGTGACGGAGGAGGTGAGGATGGACTCGATGATGGCCGTGTAGAACTGCACCAACATCTGTGCAGGCAGCTTGGCTTTCCTGAGCTGCCGCAGGAAGTACATCCTCTGCTGGGCCTTCTTGATGAGGGAGCTGATGGTCGGCTCCCACTTGAGGTCCTGGGTGATGGTGGTGCCCAGGAAACGGAAGGACTCCACAGAGGTGATGGGGGAGTCCATCACGGAGGGTGGGGGTGGGGGGACAGTGCTCTTCCTGAAGTCCACAATCATCTCCACTGTCTTCTGGGCGTTCAGCTCCAGGTTGTTACCACTGCACCAGGACACCAGCCGGTCCACCTCCCTCCTGTAGGCGGACTCATCGTTGTTGGAGATGAGTCCAATGAGGGTGGTGTCGTCCGCGAACTTGATCAGCTTCACGGAGTCGTGGCTGGAGGTGCAGTGGTTGGTGTACAGGGAGAAGAGCAGGGGAGAAAGAACACAGCCCTGTGGGGCTCCTGTATTTATAATCCGAGAGTCCGAGACATTCTTCCCCAGACGCACTCGCTGCTTCCTGTCCGTCAGGAAGTCAGTGATCCACCTGCAGGTGGAATCGGGCACGTTGAGCTGGGAGAGCTTGTCCTGGAGCAGGGATGGCAGGATTGTGTTGAAGGCAGAGCTGAAGTCCACAAACAGGACCCTGGCGTAGGTCCCCGGGGAGTCCAGATGCTGTAGGATGTGGTGGAGGGCCAGGTTAATGGCGTCGTCTACAGATCGGTTGGCTCTGTAGGCGAACTGCAGGGGGTCCAGGAGGGGGGAGGTGAAGGACTTGAGATGGCAGAGAACCAGGCGTTCAAATGACTTCATGACGACAGAATGTTAGCCATTCTTCTAAGTTCATTCATTCAGCCATACTTCAAAGTTCATAAATTGTGGTTAGCCACGCTTCTAAGTTCAATAATTATTGTGGCGAGCGATGCTTCTAAGTGAATTCGTTCATTTTAGTTAGCCATAATTTGAAGTTAATAATTTTTTTCTAAGTTCATTAGTTGTTGTTAGCCATGCACCTAAGTTCATTGATTAATTGCTGTTAGCCATGCTTCTATAAGTTTATTTATCCATTAGGTTATCCATGCTTCCTAGTTTATTAATTGTGGTGAGCTATGCTTCTAAGCTAATTCATTCATTGTTGATACACATGCTTCTATAGTTAATTAATTTATTGGGGTTAGCCATGCTTCTAAGTTTACATAATGCTTTGTCAATATGAATTATTGTCAGTGGATTAACATTTCCTACAGTCAATATTTAGCAACTTGCATCTCAGTTTTTTTAACATTAATAAATACATGTGGAAGTGTCCTGTTCACATTTGTGGAAAGGCCGCACCTCAGCCTTGTAAACTGCTCCCTCTCATGACAAGTTTAATTGTCAACCGTTTTATTATTCGTCGTTCTGTTCTGTTCTGTCGCCATACTCTTAAATAGGCCAAAGATAAGACAAATTATTATTATTATTATAGGACTGATTAGCATGCTTAGACGGTTTTTTCAATGAGACAAAAGTGTAAGAAGCCAGTACTGCTTAATTAGCTCTGGTGGAAATATAGTACACTTTGTTTTTTGTTATTAATGCATATGTGGTCGAAATATATACATTTTATTCCCTTTCCATTCAGGACACAAGGAGTTTGAGGGTTTTTTATCATCCACAAATCACATTGAGATAGGAAAATTCATATAGACAAACACAACATAGGACAACAATAAATCCCTCATGGACTTGACTAAAAATCTGCACTAATATTGCCACTGTTTCTTTTAATTGCCTTTTTTATTTTTTTTTTTTTTTTATGTACATAATATATCCGAACAGCGTATATTTTGGGCTCTAACATGTTTGGGCACCACTTCTGTCTTTTGCACAAATCTGAGTCATTCTATCTATACAAAATGTGACATTTAAATTTCTCCTGGTTAGATCAATAAAGCTCTATCTTATCTCTATCTTATCTTCAAAAGTTTAGTACTCGCTTTCACTCCAAAAAGATCAAACACCTGGAGACTTCTCAAGCTGAGGCACACTACAACAACTTTTGCTTTGTCCTCAGAGTAATAATAGGCCCACATGGATACCCTTTCATTTTCACAGAAGGAAGAAAAAGTTTTGATCTGAGGCCAAGCAGCTGTGTGTATACCTTCATCTGTCAGAGAAGATGTGGTGAACGTGCCGTCGTCCTCCTCCTCGCTCTCCATTCTCCCACTTCTAGTTTGTGTTAGTTTAGCATGTCTCCGATATCAAGTGTTTTATGATCTTCCCTGTCTCGTCTCATCTCATCTCCAGCACCTGTGTCTGTCTCTGTGTCTGTGTGAGTCAGAGGTTTGGTTACCTGCTCGACTATGAGCACCTGATAAGCGCACACCTTACACTGGTGTTATGTTAAACAGGGGTTGCCATGGGAGATCGAGACCAAAGCGCGCACACACAACATTACACACACACCTCCGCCTCGCTCGGGACGTCTGCAGGGTCAAAGTTGAGAGTCTGAAGGCGTGAAAGGGAAGTTTGTAATGTTATACCTGTGGTCACATATTAACTTAAAGAGCCAAACTCGCGGACCGAGAGTCCATCGGCCCTCAGATGTTTCCAGTGTCCTTTGCTTCTTTGATGGATGGGACTCAGTGATCTCAAAACTATACAAGATGTACATAAACCCTCTTTTGTTGCCGGTCCTCAGTTTGTTATTTCACTTTTATAGCTAATGTACCTAACTTTCACACTACTGGAAACTTTGAACCCTGCAGCTAATATGTGTACTTATATTTTAGTAAAAAAAAGTTGTCAAAAAGAGAGTTTATGGACTATTATTTTGACTCATCCAGTTTTTAGTAACAAAGGAAATGGGTTTTTGTCAAAATAGACTGGTTAATGAGTCATGAAGCTATGATAGAAAGAATTAGCTGTTAAGCACCTCAACATTAACACAATCTAACCCTAACCCTAAATATCATCTACATAACCAGTGTCGGATGTTTTTTTTTAAGGTACTTTGAATTGAATTAGTTAAGAATTATAGTTTCTTTGAAAAGTAAAAAACAAATTAATTAGTTATTTACCTAGTCACTGCCCACAAGAAACGTTACATATCTTTTGTATTATATTGTGTCACAAATGTAGGTGCGGCGTATATGTGCCAAAAATCTGCTTTCTTTTCAAGGGAGGTGGTGCAGCTTATATACAGGTGCGCCTTTATAGTGCAGAAGATGGTACAATGCTAACCCGCTAGCTCAGACATGTCAAAAAACAAGGCTTTGGGGGCATTTTCGGCCTCAAAAAACACACACAAAGTAGCCTTTCAAATCATAAAACACCTCATTCCACAATGTCATAAAGCCAACTTCATCTCCAGCATAGGCATTTTAAAAAACTCATATTAAAAGTGAAGTGTCTTCTGGCTAATTGGGTTGGACACCCCATGCCCACCACCTCAATCAAGCCCAATAGGGGAATTGCTCACAGACAAAGTTTTGCTCTAACTCGCATGCTTATATGACTTGAAAAGTAAACTCCTCTAGCTCACGTAACAAGTTGTTTTTCACGCTACAATTTTGGGCTTTAAAATCAATGGTTTTGTTCACTATGATCCATGTGTTATATTTGATATTGTCTTGGAATTGGCTCCCAGCTATCTTATGTTCAGTCCACTCCTCATCTTCAATCTATGGTCTTTGCCTATTAAAATTATAGGGTTTTATGCTGATTTGTACGTACTTTGGTCTCACTTATTTACTGTACTATCCACTTTTTCAGACAGTACTACCTATCCCAGGAGAATAACCTAACCCACTACTGATGAACCCTTGCGGACCACTAACCTACTCCTTAAAATTTCAACCAAAGCATCAAAAAGTGACTCACAGGGATTTTTCAAACAAGGATGCAAAATGAACATACTTTAAAATAAGATGAAGACAGCCTGGTGTGGTCTAAACTATTACTTTCTTTGTATTCGGGGCAACAACATGTTGATATACTGTATTTGGGGGAAAAAAAAAGTTTGTTTTCCTCAGCTTTAAGATAGATCCACACAGTGGGAAGGTTCAGTTGTTGCACAGAACAGGAAAAGTGGATGAGTTTATGGATTTGGATGAGTTTATGGCTCGGAGGTTCAGCAGTGAAGATTGGCTTGATATGCTCTTGATTGGTTTGTGATCTGTTGAAGCCATCTGTGGTCAGTTTCTGCACATAACAATGTAAACTTGAACCTGGGGGCCATTAAATCACTGTTTGTGTTAAACATTGTCATTTTGTAATAATGATAATAGTTATAGTAATGATAATGAATAGTAATAATATTAATAATAACAATAATTATTATAATAATAATAAACCTGTTAATTACGACGGTTTCTATAAAGTTTTGTTGGACGCTCAACGACTCATATTTCATGTGTTGATTCCTTTACTCCATACACAACAGTTGATATCTGACTTCTGTAGCCATAGCTGCCCTGGGAACAAGGAAGCAGGGCATTTTCTGTTTGTCCTCAGCGGGTTCCTGGTTTTGTGGTTGTTTGGGAACTGACAGGTGGGAAACAGATCATAAAAAATAAGAAAAGATAAACTTTATTGATCTTACAATGGAGCAAGTTAATAAAATGTTTTAGTGTTTCTCCCAAATCATCAAGATAGAAAAATTTGTGTTTGGATTTGTTAAATGCACGTCAAAAGGTAGGGGTGTGACGATATATCGATTTTTCGAAATATCGTGATACCTTTCTCCGCAATTCATTATCGATGTTGTAAACAAAAAATGTTGTATCAATACTTAATATATGGTACATTACGCATCTCCATTTAATTTTATCATGAAATAAACGTGTATTTTTTCTTTTGTTTATGCCATAATTCCGGCATATTGTTTATTTCTGACCAATATATCGATCAACGTCTATAGTGATATCGTTATCGGGATAAAATCTTTATCGTGGTTGGATCGTGTATCGTATCTGTATCGTGAGGTACCTTAGGTTCACCCCTAGTCAAAGGTCAATGCATTCTCTTGGATTGTCAGTAATGAGAAATATTTGAATTAAAAAGGTGTTTAATATTGTTTATTCCCGGTGGCCCAGCCTCCAGAGCAGATGCCCACTTTGGCACCAGGTCTCAGTGTAGTGAGGACACAGAGGTGAGTGAGGGAAGAGCGAAAGGTGCATGTGCTCAATCTGCCATTGTATTCAGTCACCTGCCGAGCACACAGAAGACACATTGGTTAAGAATGGACAAATAGATCAGTTTATTTGGTTTGTGTGTCAGTTAATTGACAATAGACATATTATACTCTTTTCAAAAATAATAAGAGCTTTTCAGTTTGTAGTGTGGATTATAGGCCCACTTTAGTTCACCAGACTGTCCAGGGGCGCCGTCCGGACTGAAAACCTGTCTAGACTGGGCATCGGGCTGTTCTGAGCTTTAACATTATCTCAAAAAGGAGCTGAAGTTGTCTGATGACAATGTTTTTCCATCTCACTCGGTCCTCAAGTCAGCGACTGAACTCAGATGTACTGGGCTTTAGAACAAGTTTTGTATGACTATATTGGCGGGGGGGTGAGCTGAAGTTGGATGGATGACATAGATGAGCTTGTGTTTACGATCGCAAAGACTACCTTAGGTACCGCGAGGCAAAGGGCCACATACCATGACACAGAGGGCTGCATCTGGCCCCCGGGCCTGAGTTTGGAATTGCTGCTCCAGGCCAACATTTGAAATAAAATACAACCTTTTTCTTGAATGGAGTACTGTTCAAAATGTGAAGAGGCGAAAATATGGTTGTGATTGACAGCGAGCTCTCTCCCATTGGTTTGACTATTTGAGTGTCCATAAAAACGCTCCAAAAAAGTGTTGCTATTCTATTGTTTTTCACCAACATCCAACAATAATGCCACAATATTTTTTTGTTCTTGCTTTATAGGGACAGGGTGGTCATAAAATTCAAAAAAAATAAAAGTTTTTTAAATAAACATTTAAAGTCACTAAATCATATATAATTTACAGGGCCTATATTTATTTACCTATTATTATTCTAATGAACTTTATCTAACCAGAACGTGATATTTTCAGGGGTGTCCTTGGACCAGAGAGAAGGATTGGAGCAAAAACTCTTACATGTACGCCCAGCATATTACCCGGGATATTTATCCCTTGACGGATGACAGGTCAATCTTTTCAAATTCCTATACGAACAATTCATCATTCAATACAAATGTATTTCTAATAGCACAGGTTCATACAGACTGCAACCAAAGTGCATTGACAACATCTCAAACCAATAGTCAGTAAATTAAAACATAATGTCAAAACACAGTAAAAAATACAAATAAAAAACAACTGTATGCAATCTCTTTCGACTTTAAACATGATCTATCACAACTGTCGTCCGCTCATCCAGCAGACTAGTATTTGAAGAGTTTATTATCAAAACCGAATTTCTATGTGTTGAAAATTTGTCAAAAAGTTGATATTCCTCTATTTACAATCTCAACATTGTTGTTATCGACAGTAAATTTGAATGGATTTGCTCACGAAAGGGGTTGACACTTTTTTGGGGTAATGTTTAGAAATTGGTTTGGTTATGTTAATATGACATGTATTAACATGTTTTTGAGTCTGCCTGCTAACTAATGCCAGCCCTCAAATGTGTTGAATTGTATGATGAATGGGGAAGTTTTTTAAATAAATGACAATTGGAATTGAATGTATGGAACCAAAAACATAACTGGCTTTTGAAAAAACTACTTTGTTAACGGGTAAATCGTTGAACTTTCATTATTATAATTTTCCAAAGGCACTTCTTCTGTGTTGGCAAATAAACTCCCATAATATGAATGCACTAAAATATTCAGCAATGATAGGACCATTTCGGGCCGGAATCGCGCCATGCAATTACAGTCCAGGTTTTGCAGAGAGACCCGCGAGGCTCTCTGCTAGTGTGGTTTACATCCACAGAACCTACCTCCTCTGCCCCTCGCTTCAGCCGGGCCCCGAGCGCTCACACACGGCCTCTGAATGCGCTTCATGCGCGGGGGAAGCCAGGGGCGCACTTCTGAACGAAAGGGAATCACTCCGGTGTGTTGTATGCGATCTATTGGGGGTTTTTTTTTTTTTTTTTTTTTTTTCATTCTCACGTCTGGTTTCTGTCATTTTAGTGTAAATAAAAATGAAAATACAAACTGTGCATTAAAAAACCATCTGTCAC